ATAAGCACGGTGCATAGCTAAAAAACCATTGTAATTTTAACCCTGCCAATTTAGGCCTTGCGCTTTTGGGTTTTCCAGCTAAATTTTACCGAAATGCCCAGGATCCGGTGCGAAAAAAAGCGCGAAAAGGCCCGGGTTAATAAAGCCCGGGTTTTAATAGCTTTGGAAGCTTTCGATTAAAGCGGTTTTAAAACCTTCGCCGCTTGCGCGCGGCAGTACGGGATAAACCCTCGCTTATTGCAAAGGCGCCGGCAAAAAAGCGCCGGCAAAATAAAAAACGGCGGGCACAATAAAAAGTTAATAAAAACCGAAAATTTTGCGTTGCTTGCGTGGGCTAATTAAAAACAATTAATTAATAAATTAATCCAAACGGTTTTGGGTGCGGTTTGTTAGCAAATAAATTAACCTTTTTTAAAAAACGCCGTTACCGCAATTGCCGTTGCCCAAACCGTTAATTCGATCCTCCGCCGCCGGCTAACTTTTTTTTTCGACGAACGCTAAAAAAAAATGGGCTTAAACCTGGCTTTTGGCTTATAAAAAATTGCTAAAACGGGTAAAAAAAAAGCCGCAAATTATCGAAAAGCGCGCGGCACAAAATAAGCTAATGCTAAAAAAATGGTTCGATTTTTACGCGCAATGCGTAAAAAAATATTAAATTAAACCGAAAAATAAATAAAATTTTAATAAAATAAACTTTCGGGTAAGCGTATTCCAAAAAAGCTTTGTTTGGTGCTATACGGATATCGAAGCTTGGTTTTAAAGCGATCCGAATTACCGAAATATCGTTACAATTGTTAAAACTTATTTGGCCGCCAGCGCAATAATCCTTCCGTTTATTATTATGGCCGGAATTTATATTAACGAAAAACACGTGCGCAACTTTTTAAATTTAAAAATAACTTTTATTACAAACGAAAACGGCTGGACCAACGATTTAATTGCGCTCGATTAATTTAATTACTTTATTAAACAAATAACGCTTTCGTTGCCCAATAAATATCGCTTATTATTAATTAACAATTACGGATTTTACCTAACGTTGCCGTTTTAAAAAAAGTGCGAAAAAAAAAAAATCGTAATTTTCCTTTTTTTTCCGCATACAACTTACAAATTACAGCTTTTTAACGTTAGTATTTTTTTAACCTTTAAAATTGCGCATTAACGGGATTTCGTACGGTAAATTAAACAAAGCGCGGTTAATTACAATCGCGCAAAATTTTTTAACGGGCTTTACAATATGCGCCGGCGTGCTTTTAAAATTAGTACTATTAAATTAGCTTAATTTAAATACGGGTTTTAACTTTTCGATCCGGAAATTATGCTTAATAATTTGGAAAATCCGTTTATTTCGGCCACGTTAAAAGCCGTAATTACCAAAAAAGTTGGTTATATTTTTAACGCAACCAAATAATTCCGCCGAATAAAGCAACAAAGCCGGTTTTTTGCTTTTTTTTTTAACGAAATTAACAAAGCCAACGAAATTTTGCGTTTGTTAAAAACGCTATTGCTTGTTTTACTAGCCCGCGATTAAAAAAAAGCTACAATTTTAACGTTAAATTTATTAGCAATCCGCCCGTACAAAAACTGGTTTTAAAAACGCTTGCAATTTTTTGCCGCAACGGGCAAGCCAATTTCGCTAACGGTAATTTACGTCGCTTTTAAAGTAAAAAAAATTAACGAAGCGGCAATATTTGCAAGCGCGCGCGCAATCGAAAAGCTCCGGCAGCGGAAAAAAGCGGATATTAATTAAAAAAAAAAATTCTTTTAATTAATTAATTACCAAAATAAGCCCAATTTTAACGGGCAACGTACAATTACAAATAATTAATAATAAAAGCGCGCGCTTTACCGGCCAACGTAAAAAACGCCGGCGCTTCCGTAACAAAAATATTAAAATGGAATTAACGACCTTTAAACGGTGGTTAAAAAATTACAAACGAAAAAAAAGCAAACGATTAAAACAATTGCGGGCACGTTTTGTTTTGCAAAAAGCACGGCGAAACGAAATTACCGCGTTAATGCGCCCGCAAAATTTTTTTTTTTAAAACAAGGTTAACCTTATCCGGATATATTAATAATAACGCCGGGATTGTAACGATTGGTTCCATGCTTTTCGCGAAAAGGCTTTGCTTTTTGCTTGCAAATAATTTAACAAGCAAAAAAATAACGTTTTCCTTTTTTCCAATTAGCAATTTACCGAAATACTTTTTCCCTATACGCTTTAATAAATAATTGCTAAAAACGAAAGCACGGTCCGAAAGGTTATACGAAATTATTGGAAAGTAAAGTACGGCTTTAATTTTGCTTTGGCCGTTTTTTTTCCAAGCAAATATATTGCGGAAAAGTACGAAGTTTCGTTACCGGAAATTACGGATAACAAAAAAAAAGTAAATCCAAACCACAAACCGGTTGTTAATTTAACCGGTACGGATTTGCCTTAAATAATTTCATTTTTTGCTTAATTTAATCCACGCCTTTTACTTTCAATTCCTTTGTGCACCGTGCAAAAAGTAGTGGGCGGCTTATTACCTTTTTCGGCAATACATTGGTTTCCAGCTAATTTGGGTAGGGAAAAGTGTTACAAAAAAAACGTCGAATTGCCCCGAAAACGTCGAATTGCCCCGCCGCACTTTATTCCGGAGGACCGTTAAATTGCAGGCGCTTTTAGCCCGCACGAGTAAGCCTTATCAGTTTCGCAAAGTCCGAAAGGATACGATTCGCTCCGCCCCTTGGAATCCATCATGTAGCGCGCTCCAGCCTTCCCTCCCACCTCTTCTTTCTCACCGGTCTCCAGAGTCTTTCATCACGTGGTGGTGTATATCTGCACGCCACTGCCAGGGTCGACGAGCCCAGCGACAAAGCTTCGGAGCGATGTGGCGAGTATTAGGTGGTGAAATTTCATTCCGAAATTCGGCGAGATAGCCTTTTGAACGAGTTTGATAGTCGTGTCCATTCATTAAGATGCCCATATCATACAGCGCGTTGCGAAAGTATTACCTCCACCCCTTCCCCGCAACCGTTCCTGAGCAGAAAGAGAAAAAGTCCCAAGGCTAAACGACAATGAACACAAGAAGCCACCCTCCGTTTAGATGCCCCTGAAGTTCTCTTGGTCGGTGGCGCGGCTGTTCCTGCGCGCGCGGTCGTGGCCGTGGTCGTCGTGCTCGACAACCGGCTCGCCGAGATGCTTCTTCATCACCGAGGGCGGAACCTGGGCGGCATCAAGGGGATCCCTGCCAGCCATCGTCGTCGTCGCGTTGCCCCTGTTGAGGTCAGCAAAATGTTCGGGATCCCAGATTCCTGACCTGCCTAATTCCAGAAACTGGGACAAGAAATATTTTCGGGGACATACGATTCCTCTACTTACGACCTGTAAGTCTTGTCCTGACCCATCGTCTTGCTGCCGTCGAGGTCGCTGTCGATGCGGGGGTCGACCTTGTTCATCATGTCCGACTTGTGCGGGCCAGCCGTGTTGGGGGCCGGGCCGGGGCCCGTGTGGCCCGTCAGGCCCGAGGTGGCACCAGTGGTGCGGCCAGTGCCGGTCATGCCCGTGGTGCCCGCGGTGGAGCTGCCGTAGGTGCCCGTGGTGCCGCCCAGGCCGGCACGGCCGTCGCGGTCCGAGTCGACGCGGGGGTCAGCCTTGTTGGCCAGGTTGGAGCTGTGCGGGCCGTGGTTGGTCGAGGTGCCGTGGCTGCCGCCCATCATGCCGGTTCCGGTGGTGCCCGTGGTGTGGCCGGTGCCCGTCATGCCAGTGCCCGTCATGCCGGTGCCGGTGGTGGAGCTGCCGTAGCCGCCCGTGGTGCCGGTGCCCATGTTGGAGGCCGGGTTGGCGCGGTGGTCGCGGTCAGAGTCGACGCGGGGGTCAGCCTTGTTGGCCAGGTTGGAGCTGTGCGGGCCCGTGGTGCCGTAGCTGCCCGTGGTCGCGGTCGGGCCCATGGTGCTGCCCGAGTGGCCGGTGCCGACAGAGTTGTTGGGGTTGGCGCGGTGGTCGCGGTCAGAGTCAACGCGGGGGTCGGCGGCGTTGCCGACGCGGCTGTTGTGTGGGCCCGAGGTGCCCTCGGGCTGGCTGTGAGACTTGTCCGAGTGGATGGCGTCCTTGATCTTGTTGACGATGGAAGACATAGTTGCGGTTGTGTGGTGGTAATGTGAGGGTGTGATGGGTATTGTTCTTGGCTGTGATGGTAGGTTGAAGAGTTGGGTTGTTGTGATTGCTTTGTGTGGTTGATGATGTTGTCTTGGAACGTCTGGGCCACCGGGTCGGGAGGTCCTCCTTTATAGACCCAAGGAAAGGAATGACGGGAGGTGCCCTCCTTCTCTGAATCCTGCCCGCCCGTGATCTCGTACCAGGAAGGTGCGTCCGCAGAACGAGTGACCTTGCGCCGAGGATGACCTCAACATGAGGTCATCATTTTTGGTAGTCTGGCGGCCGTTGGACTGCCAGCAGCCACGGCAAGCAAGGAATGGGGAAGGGGATTTGGGGCCGTCTCGGCTTTCTCCGTGCAGAAACAGTGCTCCCCCGGTCTGGGCCACGGCCAGCTGGCGCAGGCAGCAACAAACAGCCCCCCGGCACAGACCGGATCGAGAGGCACGCAGCAGCGCTGCACAGCAGGCTTGGCTTTGGCGTCGCAGCGCCAGCAATGCGTGTGCTCGTGCGGGCCTCGCGCACGCACGCCCGCGGCCGCGGCCTTGGTTTCACGCCGTGTTCTGGCGAGGAGGGCTATTCCATCATACCTGTGATACCTGTCCCAGCTGGGCAACCCACATTCATCATCCCTTCCATTCTCCCTGTCCCTGCCAGCCTGCCTTGGTGGGCTCGCACACAAACACGCAAGGTCCCAAACAGGCAAGGGGGCAAAAATGGTAGAAGCTGTCAGCCAAGCGGATAGCCGGCTGGGCTCGCCTCCCAGATTGACCAATGCCTGCGGGCAGACGCGGCCTGGCCAGCAAGGCGCGGCGTTGTCCGGACGCCTTGGCTGTTTCCACCCTCGTGCATATCATCGCTTCACACAACTGGTGAGCTTGTCTCTCCGTCCTTATTTTTACCTTAATTTGGCATGGAGATTCACTCTTTTCTTGTCTTGGGGCGACTCTGGGCGACATAGATCGGCGTCTGGGTTTGCTTTGGCCAGCAGCACTCTCGCGTCATATTAGCGGAGCCACACCACAGGGGGCAATCGGCATGTGGGTTGCGGTGATCCCCCCACTGTGGCTGGTGATTTTTTTTGATTGAGGACCTTCCCGCGACTTGCCGGAAGGGAGCGGGAAGGCAACTACCCTCCCACCATGTAATTGAGCCGCGTAAGCAATTTCATGATACGCGCCAGACGGCCTTCCTGTCATTAGGTAAAGAATCGATATTGAATCTCGATCTCGGGTCTCGTGTGCTGTTTTTCTCGCGCTTGCCGTCCTGGCCTGGAGCTCTTGCATTTTGCGTGGTGCAAGTCTCCGGTGTGGCGTTTGTTCCCCGCCAAGTACCCACATGAGCTTCCTCCCCCACCCATTCAGCCGCCGGTTGGCCCCCGTTCTGGAAAGTCTATGACCGCATCGTTTCAGCCCACCCACGTCATCAACAAACGGCTGGGCCGCCTTTACGACGGCACGCACGGCCCAGACGAAGTTCCAGCCCTTGATCTTCCTCCTTTCCCACACGGGCTCCTTCGGGAGCGGCATTGTTTGCTTGCTGCTGTTGCTCAGTCGTTTCACAGTCATGTGGCCCGCTCTCCCTTGAGCGTGAAATCAGAGGGGACAGTAGCAATTTGTTCCTCCAATCGCTGTTTAAAGCATACCGCAGTTTGACCAACCACCGGCTGAGCGTGCTTGGACGGCAAATGTGTCATAAGGACGCGGATGGCACAGTTACATGCCCCTTAGAGCCGCCGGGGCCTTGCTTGGTCTGGCCCTTCATCCTGCCTCGGTGGAACCAGGCTTGTTCCTTCTTAAATCTCGATTTAGCGGCCGCTCGACCTAGGGGCCCAAAAATCAGGTTTTGCCGTGCTACGACTGCCTCACCAACCGGCTGTCATCCTCGCACATCTTCGGTCGGCCAGTTCGGCTCGAGGCACGCTAATGTGTCGGAAAGGAGTTTATGAGCCTGTCCCTGGTGCCTGATGTTTGGCTGTGTTTGCTAGTGCTCTGCTCGTCGTTGTGCGAGCTGTCCCGTGTGTGATGTGCATTTCGTCTTTGGGTAACTGGCCGCCCAAAGCGTACCTAGAAGGCAGCCATTTTACCATGAGATGCCACTGCGAGCGAATGTCCCGGCAGGGAACGAAAAAGAAAGAAGAGAGATCTTGTTGTAACTGTTTGCTACCTAGCCGTTGACCGCCGGCTCTTCTGCACGCCGCGCGTCCGCACCGAGCCGATGCCACCCCAGTCTTGCGATTATTGTATCACCGTGTCACCCCGCGCCGAGACGGCTCATGACGGCGTCGCAGAACTATGCGGTAGATGTCACTTTAACTCGTCCACGTGGTGGTTTTTATTTTCTCCGCTCCCTGTCATACAGGCGTAGGATGCCGCTCGTGTATCGCGAGCCTTGAGCCATTCCAGGCAGGCCTTGTCCCGGGCCAGGGAGTGTACACCCCCGAGACTGTTCGGATTTTCACAGGCGTGGGAGAGAATGAGGTAGGAAGAGGTTTGATTAGGGCTTTAACAGAAGAGAAATAGGCTAAACAAAGAAGTGCAAGTGGTATCTTAAGTGTGTGCAGTAAAGACTAATCTCGAGCATTGGGGATGGGTTGGTAGGTAGGTATTGTCCTGCTACCACCAAACCCGGACGGAACAAGTGCAGTGTGGGTGTTTCAGGGTATCTTGTTTCTTTACTCTCTTCCATGGCGCTCTCCCCGTCATCCCCCAGTCGCGCGTCTCCTCATGAACAATTCACGTCCCTCCCGCCAATGTTTGAAAGAGAGCTCACTTCCCTCGACGTGGCAAGCTTCGTAGCAGAACCTTTTCTCCGCTCTTTCCCCCTAGAGAAGAGGTAAGAGGAGGTCACAAGGCAGCTTAGACGCGGGCACGCGAGCGGTACCAGCGGCGGCGGTGGCCGGTGGTGGCCACGGCCCTCTCGCGCTTGCGGACCCAGAGGATGCCGAGGATGGCGCTGGCGAGCCAGCAGATGGCCGACAGGAAGGCGAAGGCGACGATGGCCTTTTGCTTGGCGCACGAGTCGTCGCCGCGCAGGCGGATGCCGGACCAGTCGAAGATGTCGCCGCAGGCACCGTTGAGCCACTGTTGTTTGGGCCGGTGTTAGTCGGTAGCCTTCTGGATCCATTTGCCTGATAGAAAGGCTGCGAGGATATGAAAAGCAGGAATAGGAATGAAAGCAGTCATGATGACAGGAATAACAACAGGAATCATAATAATAATAAAAAGCACATTGCACAGCAGAGAGGAAAACTTACGTCGACGAGCAGACCAAACACGGCGAACCACATAACAGAGATGATAAAGTCGGTGGGCCAGTGGATGAAGCTGCCGCTAAAGGGGAACAGCCACACGATGGCCAGCAGGATGGAGATGGCGGCCACGACGATGGTGTAGATGTGGCGGCCGTTGTCCCAGGCCGACGCGTTCTGTGTGTGGTGCAGGTACTCGCCCGTGAGGCCGGCCACGATGGCGCCAAAGGCCAGCTCCGCCAGGCGGAGGATCATGCTGAAGAGGCCCGTAATGGCCATCTTGGGCGACTTTCTTTGTCTTGCTGCTGCTATTGAGCTTGTTGATGTTGTTGATGTTGATGAGGAAAAATGATACCACCGGGTATCTGGTACTTGCGGGTGTGGCTTTCAGGGCCCCGGGGGTGGCGCACAGCAGTGTAGGTAGGCACAAATAGGATGAAGAGGGAAATGATGATCTCGGGATGCGAGCAGAGAGAGTTGGGTGCAGGTGTCTTGTGCGTGGCAATACGGGCGAGTTATATGTGCCTGGGCCCAGCTCGTAACGCCGTGGTTGTGTTTGATTCGGCCATTACGCAAACGCTACGAGACAGGCAGGGGCGGGATGACGACGGGGCTTTCCCGTCCCCTTTCGTCTGGCTGGGCACGACGTCGGGCCAGAAGGGAAAGGAGCAAATCTGGATTTTTAGTGTTGTTAAAAAATGTGGCTTGCTGTCGTCATGCGGTCATTCCACCTCACCCCCTGGAACAACGCCTGGCCTGTCAAATGAAGAGACAGAATGTTGACCGGGCTTGATGTGACCTAACGCACGCCGCTGTCCGTTTCTGCCTGACCGACCTTACATTCTTTCCTCCTCATGTCCACCCCGAAGCTGCGAATTCCCTACCTGTGTGTGCCTTGTCCACCTATGTACCCACCACCACCCCGCCCATAATAACATGAGATATCAGACGGCTGCGGCCCAAAAAAAAGAAAAGAAAAAAGAAGCCATGCCCAACGCCGTTGGTCGCTATTGCACATGCCAGGGAACGCCCGCGCCCGACCAAAGGCAGACGGGCCGCGCGAGGGCGATTGGACGGCAAGCTTGGGCCAGTAGCGGACGGCAGCTTGGCGCCAGCCGGCTGTCAAATGTTCCTTTCTGACGTCGGGTCGCTCAAGGGCGGAAGGGACGTGGTGACGTCATGGGTGGCTTGGGTGCGGTTGTCCATTTGTCTGAAACGCTTGAACCCGTCATCAGGGAACCCCCTGCCGCTCAAAAGCCGGCCGCGATGCGACGCTGCGCTAGATTATCAGCGGTCTGGCTTTCTTGGCGACCGAGACGGGCAAACGTCGACGGTGCTGAGCCACACACATTCGCGCTCTCCCATCTGCCACCCACGCCACCTTGTCCACGCCCTGGATTACGTGTCGCAAGCAACCCATCACATCCGCCAAGCCCGCCATCCACCCTGCCTTGCACGCTTGGCATGTCACAAGAGAACAAGAAGCAGACAGAAACTACTTTCTGCCCTGTGTGGCATTAGATGCCGAAGAAAATTGTAAATCGAAAACGCATGTTGGAATTATTCATGGATCAGTTCTGATCAGAGACGGACATGTCATCTTCCTCCCCAGATGGTTGCAGATAAAAACCAAGGCTAGCAACCGGGTGCAAAGCTGCCCGGATGAACAATGTGTACAAGCAAGAAGTGAAGGCCGATTAACAAAAAGAAAGATGAGGCTGGAGCGTCCAGAAAAATGCGAAGGAATGAGGAATCAAAACCCAGAGGGGCACGGCCAGACGTATCTGCCGGGAGAAACCGAAAAAAAAGGGGAAGAGATATGATATGGAAATAGAATGGTGGAATAAAAATTGTAGAATCATTGACAAGACCTGGTGGCTGCAAGTGAAAATACGGCGTCGGACGTCCAAACTTTTTGGCCTGATAGGGTTTGATCCCAGAAAGATGCCCAACCAAAAGAATAAAAATGATATCCAAGGTGGAAGAGAGAAAAAGAACAAGAAAAAAACAATATCGAAAAAAGACCGGACAAAGCAAAGACGAAACCAAGAGAGTGCTGGCTGAAAGGCAGGAAGCAAAAGCAAAAGGAATCGTTCAAGTCCGAGCAACTACTTGCGGCGCGAGAATCTCTTGGAGAAGCCGCCGCCGCCTCCAACCTCCTGCTCGACAGCGCCGAACCTTGGGGCGGCCGCAAAGTCCTGCGGCGGCTCCGACTGGCGCAGGAAGTCGGCCAGGTCCGACGTGGCCCCACGGCCGCGCACCAGCACCGGGTCGCGCGGCTCGTACTTGCGCATGGGCACCCTGGGCCCGCCCGTGGCGGGGCGGGTGGGCGGGGCCGTGCCGTAGAGAGAGGACAAGTCGCCGAGGTCACCGGGCATGTTGATCTGGATGGGCGTGTATCCCCTGCCGCCACCAGCGCGGCCCGCCGACTGTGGCGGCGCCGAGTCAGCGACGGCCGTCTTGGACGAGCTGCGGCCGAGAGCGGCGGCGAAGGAGTTCATCGTCGGTGAGTGGCTTTCCCTGCGTGTGAACCGCGCCATGAGGCTCGGCGCGCTCGCCTTCTTCTTGGGCGCCGTCGGCTTGCTAGGCGCGACGACGCCGGGGTAGCCTGAAGGGAGGTGGAAGGGCAGAACGGGCGTGTCCTTGGGCGCGGGCGCGTTCATCAGGAAGTCGGCAAGGCTCTCTTCTTGCGGCGGCGTGGGCTGTTGTTGAGCGTGCCTCATCCCCACTCGTGGGGTCGACTGCACGTCCAGGTCTTCATCCTCGTCGTCGCTGTCAATGGCGTACGGGTCCCGTACCCGCCTCTGCTTCCGCTTGGGGATCATGTCGTCCTCGTCCCACATGCCGCCGCCACCGCCTTGTCCGGAGCCGGGGATTGGAAAGGACCCCTTGTTGTTGAGCAGCGCACTAGACGAGTTAACCGACGAGCGCTCCGTGACGCTGGCTGACGCTGCGCTGCTGTTCCTGATGTCGGGGATGGTGGCATCTACTGCCTTGCCACCGGGCGCCATGGCGAACTGATCCGAGTCCATGGTGGTGCGGAACGGGGCAACCGTCCGCGGGATGCGCGGGTTGTTGCCCGTGCTGGGCGGCCCCCTACGGATGAAGTCAATCAGGTCCGAGTTGTCCTCGCGCGGGTCAACAACGGCTGCTCGCGCCTGGTACCGGCGCCGGTTCTGGCTGCTGGCCGTCGACGATCGAGTCAGGGGCCTGCTACCGGCGCCCGCCAAGTTCACGTCGTTGGCACCACCAGCGGCTCCGCTCATGGTCATCATGCCCGCGTGATTCGTACGAAGCGAAACAGGCGGGCCAGCGCCCGACGGTCCAGTTCCGCGAATGAAGTCGGCAAAGTCTAAAAGGGACTCCCTGGGCACCCGCGCGTCTCTCGCCTGAGGTCCAACAACACGAATGTTGGACACAACTCCGGGAGGTGCTCGTGGGATCGGCCCAGTCAGCTTGATGCCCGACGACAGATGAACGGGATGAGAGCTCAAGCCTGTCGACTGCGAACCCGATTGTGTCCTCGACTCGCCGGATCGCGGGGGGGTGGCAGACAACGGGGAAGAACGAGTGCGGTCACCAAGGTGTGGCTGCACGTCCTCACTCTTCCCGCTTTTTGGTCGCGCGACGGGGCTGTCAACCTTCACAGATCGAACCGACTGTGAGTGTTCATGTGCTTGTTAGCATGTGATTCTTTGGTACTCCCAAGGCAAGGGCCTTGTGCGCTGTGGACTTACGTCAATATCACGCATGCTCTCAGGTGTGAGCGTGAATTGAATGGTCTGGTCGCTCTTCATAAGCTCCTCAAAGTTGCGCGCAACGTCCTCGGGCGTGACGGCGTTGTCACCAGACGCGCTCTCCTGCGAGGTGCGAACCGGCTTTCTCCTCTGCTGCTGAGCTGACAGCTGGATTGAGGAGACCGACGGGGCAGACCCGTCCATCGACCTGCCAGGTTGCTCCGGGAACTTGGACGCACGAGGAGACTCGGCAACGTCTTCTAGAGGGGGGCTAGAGCGCGGGCTTGCACGCGGACTAGGGCGCGGACTAGGACGCTCACCTGATACTTTCCTTATGGTGGCAATGACAGGTCGTTGCTCAACAGGTGTTGAAGGGCCCGCCGCGCTGGCCGGCCTGTTGATGCTGCGCTCTGGCAGAGCCGGTGGCGCTGCCTTCCGCGTGATGGAAACGGATGGCTTTGATGGAACATCTGGCTTTTCGTCAAAGAAAAACGTTCCATTGGAGGCCTTGGACGAGAACACGGCGGCGGTATTGACAGGAGAGTATCTGGCAGGGGAGGCCCTGAAAGGGGACGATCTGACAGGCGAGTGGGGAGGCGATGTCTGGCGGGAGACGGAGCCAAAGATGGCATCTGACGAGTGAAGCTGAGACTGAAGATCGTTCGACTGCGATCTGGACTGCGAGGCACTCGGGGTCGTTGCGTCGCTGTGCTGGCGAAAGTCCATGCCAGCGATCTCCTCGGCTTCCGAGATGGAGTCGTTGTGAACCCGGGTGGGCTTGCCATTGGGGAAGGGGAAAGCCTTCTTGGATGGGCTACCAGCAGGCCGTTTCTCCTCCCTGAGCGGCGAGGTGGGGAAGCTGTCGGTTCGGGAGAGGTCGTTGCTGCGGAGCGAAGCCCGCTCCTGAGCGTCGGCGGAGCTGCCACGAGACCTCGAAACCGGACTCCGTGGCGTGTGGAGCTCGATCATGCGCACAGAGTGCACGCTGGGGGACCGCGTAGGGATTCCAATAGTAATGGGTGGCTTGGGTTTCCCACGATCGCTAACCGAGGCGGTTGGCGAGGTACTCCTGCCGGAAATAGAGACCCTCGACGACGTCAGGATTTCGGGCTCCTCCGAGAACTCGTCGATCTCATCCACCTCATCCAGGGACGGACGGGAGAACTTGGCGTCCAGGGCAGCCTTCACGCCTCCCGTGGCGCCCGCGATCATGGCCGAGATCTCAGCCGAAGATTTACGCCGACCCTTGTAGATCTGCATCTGCTCGGGGTCTATTGTGGCAGCACGCGACTGTGTCTCCTCCGACAGCGCAGGGCTCGGCGGCCCGGCGACCGGCACGTGCTTTGCGGTCGCCTGGGGCCGCTTGCCTCCGGCACTCTTCCTCTTCTCCGGCCCGGTCGCAGGGACGTCCGCAGGCGGCCTCGAGGCAACCTTGGCGCGCTTGAGGGGTGGTGACATTGAGGTGAATGTCGCAAAGCTTGGCATAGAGTTGGACCGCTTTCGGGGGGAGGCTAATGGGGTGTGCGGCTGCGAGTCTGCAGGAGTCGGAAGGCTTGCGCCACCAGGTGCCGATGTGAAAACCATCATGCTCTTGGGACGCGTCGGGCGACTCGAGGCGCCCGACCGGTGCCTAACCTCGTTCACGTCGTCATCGTTGTCGTCGTCATAGCGAACTAGGCCTGGGATCAGAATCTCGGTGACATCGTCCTGGCCCATGGGCAACGGGATCGAAGCTGCCAGCTCCTGCTCGCTGGCTGGTGGTGTTCGGGTGATCTTCGACATGCTGCTCCGTTGAGAATGCGTGGGCTCGAATTGCTCCGTCGCGGAACGCGGAGAATCAACTGTGATGCTTCCGAGCCTGAAATTGCCGCTGTTGCTTGCCCGCACGGAGCCTCGCGAATATGGCCGACCTCCGAAGACGGCCTCCTGGCCGCCCCTTGGTGATCGCACCATCTTCTTCTTCTTCCAGCTTCTCCAAAGCCGACCAAGTGTCCTGTCCAGCGCGACTCGCTCCATATCGCCATCTTCGACGACTATCCTTTCGACAACATCTCCGGGGCTTCGACTTCCGTCCTTCAACCCCTTCTCATAGTCGACGCGCATGCGCTGGCTGGCAGTGGCTCCGGCAACGACCAGAGCCTGCTCGCCCATGAACTCGAGGATCGAGGTTAGGAAAATGGCGACGGGGGGAGAAACGGTGTCATCGGACTCGCCGGCGACCACAAGATCTTCCTGTTCCATGTAGAAGTCTTCGTCCTCCTCCTCCAGATCACCGAGTGATGAGTAAACCATACATCGCAGACGAGTTCGCTTCCAGACAAGCTCCAGATCCCAGTCTCGGGCCGACCTGGCGGACTGGGAGTAGTCCTCGTCGTCGGCCCCACCGAGATACTCACGCAGCTCCTCATCGGCCTGGTTCATGGCGTCGCTGGCCAGCTTGGGCTTGAGAACATCGGTGACTGCGGGTCGCAGGGAGACGAGGCTGGTGGAGCCTGCGCTGCAGAGGAAGTTGAACAGCAGGTGGTCGAGGAAGCTGTTCACCAGGGCAAGTGCGCCGCGAGAGACGAGCACGGTCTCGGCAGGGGGTTCGACGCCCTGCTGATCATACCATGTGGCGGCGTGGGCATCGTGGTCGTTCGTGACGATCTGGGAGGCGGCGGCCGAGGCGATAAAGGCCGCCTCGGGCGAAATAGAGAGCGGTGGCGACATGAGGCTGTGGGCAACTGTGGAGGGCCTATCGCTGGAGAGGCTCTGGGTCCTGGACCTCACCTTTTGAGGAACCGAGGCAACGCTAGGGGCGAAGGCCAGGGCCCAGCGGGGGGCGCCCGGGTCTGATGGTGGGAAGCTCATATCGAGTTGCGTCGGAGGCGCGGACCAGTCAACGGTGACGGGTGGCTCCCTTGTCCTCCGGCTCGGTCTTGGTCTTTATCGTTATGCACAGCTATGTGATGTGCTGTTGGGTCTCGTGGCAGCAGCGTATGACGACGCTCGGCGGTGTGGGATTGGATCGGTGGGTGGCCGGGTAGAGGTCGGACGGGGCGCTGGCTTTCTTGAGAGGCTTGCTCCAAGAAGGCAAGAGATTTGCGCGCGCTGGGCCTGACCGGGTAGCCGCGGCGGGAAGGTACGCCAAATCGGGGCAAGGGCGGGCACGGTAATAGCGACTGGCGGGCGTCGCGTGGTGCTACTGGCAAACGGCGTCGGTGACTGGCTGGCAGAGCAGGCCGTCGATGCTGGCGGATGGTGGTGCGTGCTGGCTGGCAGCAGCGCCGGGGGAAGGGCTGGACGGGAGGCTGCCTTCAAATTAGAATTGGAGCGCAATTATCGTCCGGGGGGCGGGTTCCCGAGCTGAAACAAAGCGGCCAGGGAAGCATTGGCAGAATGGAGATGGCAGACGGGAGTTGTGTGATCACCAGGGCCGGCCAAGTCCCACGAGGGTGCGGATGCGAGCTCGGGTAGCCGACGCCGGTTGTGCAGGTGTAGGGAAATAAAAAGGACCGTCAAACAAATCAGGGGCCACGGGAGGAGGAGGACGAGGAGCAGCACACACGGCGAGCGGCCAGAGCAGCTGCGAGCCTGTGTCACCCCCATGCACTCGCTGGCGGCCACCAGCCAGTCACGGATGCAGTAGGTTGGCCACCACAGGACAAGGTGACACGGACCAATGCGGCCGGGGGCAGGAAGAAGCTAGCAGACGAGGCGCCGAAGTGAATATCAGATGTAAACACCACCCGCCCGCAATGGCAGCCAAGTCCACATGAGGATGGTGGTTGGGCGGTAGGGCGAGTCATCCAGATGGAGGACGGACCAGATGCCGCAAAAAGCAAAAAAGGTAATACCGGCCGAAGTCATGTCGAAGGGGGTCTGGACTGGGGATGATGCAATGCACATACCGGGAACAAGTTCGGAGGATAAAGAAAAAGTGAAAAGTTTAAAATAAAATAAAAAAACAATAAAAAAAAACGTTGCAGAGGCAGACAGGCGGGCCGCCGTGGAGGGTGGGAGGAACAAACGAGGGTGAGAACCAACAAACGAAAAAATACTACACCAAAAAAGAAGTTCCCGTGCTGGGAAACAAAAACGAGTGACGGGTGCGGGTAGGCAGACTAAACTCTTACTCCTCTCCGTGCACTACGGTCCAACCATGACAATCCTGCCAGTTTTGACTGGCAGAAGCAAGTTGAAATCGGATGGACAAACGGGCGGGATGCGAGAGAAGGAAGGGAACGAAAAAAGACGGGACGAACGGGGACGAGGGAGCGAGAACAACGACTTAGGTGTGATGCGTGTGCGGTGGAGCGTTTGTGTGTGTGTGTCGACGTCGATGCGACTCGCACGTACCCAGGTCAACAGAACAACATTTGATTGAGGACACCGTTAGCGACGGCCGGAGGGTCCGTCCCGCTGCAGCGACATCAAAGGCCTTGGACGGCCCACGAGCAGCGCACGAACACCACCTTGCCACCCGCTTCTCTCGCTGACGGGCGACCTGCCCAGCACCGGCGATGGCAGAGCACAGCGGGGGAGGAAGGAGCCCATCTGCAACTGCAACTGCACCTGCCCCCAAGGGGACTGGTCACTGGGGGCTGCACACCATCAACTTTGCGGCGCACAGCCTTTTCGGCTCTCCGCCCCAGGCCAAGCCCCAGAAAAACCGTCTCCGCTGCAACTCTGCGACTTGGACGACAGGGGCCGAGGGCGGAGCACACGGACAAGCACGGCAGGGGATTGCAGGGGTCTCTGGTGCGTGCGATGCGATCCGGGACATGGGGAGGCCCTTCTTTCCTTCTGCCTTCCAGCAGGCGGGTGGGTCGAAATCAAATTGGCCGGTGATATTCAGGATGGATGCGGTGTCCAGGGGAAAGAAGCAAAGCAAAACAAAGTAGAGCAAAAAGCGGGCTTGCACGAACCTGCGTGTTTTTCTCCCCTCTTTTTCTGTTCTCGTCGAGTTCTCGATAGTCAGAAAAGGTACTTTAAGCCCTGGCGATGGTGTGGTGTGCAGATTACGGATGGCTGCGTGCTGGCACAGATGGGAGAGCACAAAGCAGCCAACCACGACTTTTCAACCCTGGCTGCGCAACCTCGCGCCTTCCGGGAAAGGGAGGAATCGGCAGGTGGAGGTCAAATGGTCGTTGAGATGAAATGAGGAGGATCCGCTAGACGAGCTAGCGACGCTCGCTCTAAGTTGGTTGTCCTTTTTTTTTTCTGCAAAAAAAAAAAAAATCTTTTCGACTGCCACCAACCCCCCTTTTGATGGCGCATGTGGGTGGGTGCTCTTGCGCCCAGCACGGAAATGCGCTCAACAACTCTCCGCTGATAAGTCGTCCCTTTTTGGCTCCTCTACCCTCATGCATGCGGGTGTCGTCTGCAGCTGGAGGGCGACATGCCGCATGGAAGCCAAAGCATCAATATCGGCAGAACAGTCTGGAAGACGGGCGCACACCAGGCACAGAGACAGGATGACCGCCAGTTGGATAAACCGTCACATCGGGCGGACAAGTCAAGGGGTAACTTGTCAAGGGTTCAGCCCGGCTTGGTCCAGGTCCAGATCCGAACCAAACCCAACCTGAGCGGCGCATCGCCGACGCCTTTGACCACGTTAGGCAGGTCTAGTAGCCTCCCCCACCAGTTGGGAAACTGGCGCACTAAATCTCGGAGATCGATCGTCCCAAACCGTGCGCGCTCAATCTTGAGATGCGAAGTTTGGGTGCCTTAGATTCGAGTGTCATTGCTATAGTAGCAGTTGTTCAATTAATACTTGTCTCGTCGTCAAATCCACCCACACCCCACAACACGCTGCACTGCAACCTGTAAAATCCGAGGCTTGTGCGCACGACATCTCAAATCGGCCGGCAGCCAGAAGTCATCGAGCAACCCTTGATATCGACTGTGTTTGGTTGCTGCGACCAGCCCCGTGCTGCCTGGCATCCGTCCGGTGCCCGATCTCGGGCGACACGGGCTATAGTACCTATAGCCTGTAGATGGACACGAGCTTGTGAGAAGCCGTCCAGGAAGAGTTTACGCATACCTACTAGTATGTGGCTCGATGTGCCTTCCGTGTCTTCGTCGGCATATCACACCACACATGGGCACGGCATGATAGGATGAGGGGCTGTCTCCTTCGCGGCCGCAGAGCCGAGTACATGCTCAAATTTCCTTAGCCGAGGTCTGCACAGAGCACTGTCTGGCAGAGCGCGGGAAATTCTTATCCCCCACACGGCGGACCCAGTACCCGCTCCGTCGGTTGCGACGTGGGCTTGTCGCAAACAAACATTCCATGACCAAAGAAGAGAACCACATGGCCTGGGGTCGATCATCTCGGTCGCCAGCTGGCTGGTAGGTATTTGGAAGACAGGCTGGGAGGTCCTTGACTCCGACCTGTTTGCAAATAATCGCTGGAGCTGCCGGACAGAAACACTCACAATCCGAGTCATTTGCCCACGCGACACGACATCAATATTGGATGTTCAGCATCCACATGGCGGGCAGCAGCACTAGCGTAACCATCGTTCACAATTGCAACATCACTATAGCCTGCATGCTGCACTAAACGCCATCCGCACAGACCTTTTTATCCACGCTCCAGCGTCGACGTTGGGCCTTCCATCTTTCCAGTGTCGCTCGAGAGCCGCACCGTCACACTCTACGTTGCGAGGCGCAACACGAACCAGGGACTAGGATGGAACGACGGTAGGATTGCCTGGCGCAGCCATCCGGCGTTGTGCAAAGGGACCGCGTATTTCAAGCCAAGTACTGGCCAGACTGATCCGTCCGCGTCGGCCGGCTAATGGATACTCGCGTGGTCTATTTCAGTCAGCCGGCTGTGTGCGCCTGTAGCTGGGCTGGCGATCCGGTGGCTTTAGTACTTTTTTCTTCTCCTTTCGAAGCTCCCTAGGGACCTTGGCAGCTATTAGTGTTGTTGTTCCGCCCTGCGTCTCGACCAGTATGGTCTGATGCGTCCAACGGGGCGGCCGCCACCAGGAACGGAGACAAAATAGAACACATTGGGCCGTTTGCTTGGAACTCTCTAGATGATGCAGGTGGCGATCACGTATCATCGTCCAGCCGATCGCTCACGCTCACACACACACGACTCCCAGCCGCCCGGTCGATCTGTGGCCGGGCGAGCCCGGAGTTCCTATGCGGCGAATGTGACCGGATCAATGCGAGAAAGCAAGCAAGACGGATGATATGTTACTCCTGATAATGCCCTCTTCCCAGTTTCCATCCCCTGCTTTTTTATTAATGCGGGTAAATATCCCGCAAACGCCGTCACTGGTGCTTGCTTTCTCCTCTCATCTCCTAGGTCGAGGTTGCTTTTTCTCCATGTTCCTGATCTTGTTCTGGCGTGTTTCAGCGTTAATCAACCGCAAACACCCAAACTTCCGGGCCTGACCGGCTCTCGACCTTGTCCTGGCACCGGCGTCTGGCTTGGGAGTCCATGCAAAAGCGCCGCGGCTTCAGGGTGCACGTCAGGGCCCAAGGCGCAAAACTCCGGGTGGCTTGTGCAGGGTTGTTGTCATCATCTCCTTTTTCTCTCTTTCTATCACTCCCGTCCCTTTGGGTTGACAGCTTTTGGACACGAGCCAATCATCCTCCCGCTGTCTTGCTTTGGCTTTCCAGTTCGGGCAAAGGAGCTGAGTTGTGCACTGGCGTCAAGTCAGGGCGTCGAGTCGCCAAGCGAAAGCCTGCTCCCCCGATCGGTACCCCAAGGTGCCATATCTCCCTCTTGGCTTGGGGGTTTTGTTGACTTGGGAGATTCAAGGCTTTCCGGTATTGGACTAGGCAACTAGGCACTTCCTAGCAAGGTGTACTGTTGTGAACCCTACCAAGTCCAGCTCAACCCGGCCGAACACCACGAGCTATTATCCTTCAATAAAAAATGTTGCAGCCAAAGTAGCCAACTGTCTACCAGGTAGCACCATCAATTGACTGGCGTCGAGCAGGCAGGATGGGGCCGTCCACATTGGTCGGTACCGCAGGGGCACGCCGCCTCCAGCCCTTGCGACATTAGCGCATGCAACGTGCATCATTGCCAGTGCCATCAATAAAAAGGAAATCTTGGGCGGCGGCGTGAGCGAGCATCAGTCCTTGGGAACTGCTCCGCAATTGCAGCAGGCGGATTTCGCGCAGAGAAGAGGTGGAAGCATGCGTAGGCCGAAATTAGCTCACCCAGACACTGCCAGAAAAAGAACATCAGGCGACCGGCATACTGTCCTTGTGGGTGAGACGACTGAGGCTCGGTATTTCGTAAACGACCAGACGCCGCAGAAGGCGACGGGAAGGACCAAGAAGTGGCACGCCGTCCCGTTTCCAAAGGAGCAAAGCCCGTTCGAACAGTCGTTGCCCAGAGAACTCTCCAATCAAAACATCAGCACACGCGCACGCAGAGAGAGATCGTCCCCCCCCGTCCCGGACGCAACATCAGCCCGTGGAACCCCTTCTCTCTCTCCCTGCCCGTCCACGAAAGGGGTTTCAGCGCCGACAGGGAAGGTTTGGGCGGATCAGTGGGGACATTTGCAGCAGCCGCCCCGCTGCCCCGTCGCCCCGTTCGCTGCGATCCCCGCACGTCCCCTTGGGCGTGGAGCCACAGGTTCCGGGGCCAAGTTGAGGGCAGATTTTCCATTTTCGGTTTTCAGTTTCCATTTCCCATTTCAGCTCCGAGCGCTTTGTCTTGGCCCGCATTTTGGGATCGCTTGAAGGGATCCATGGGTCATGAGAGGTTACCAGGTGACTGTGATTGCGGCAGCGTCGAATCGTCATAAGATAAAAACAAACCGGAGACTGGTCGCCCGACTGCACGTTTGGTTTGGCTGGTGGGGGTTACTGGTTACATGTTGACGAGCGATGGAGGCGGCTGGCTATTTTTGCGTTGCTTTTTATTTTCCACCTCTCAGGATTCCCTGCTGCTCATGTTTCGACAAACAAATGGCAGGAGACAACCCCTCTCCCCTCGATCCCAGTAAAAGGACGACAAACATCATGCCATTTCTGAGAATGAGAGTAACGAAAAGAACGAAAGAAAAAAAAACGAAAAGAAAAAAGCGGCGCTTGGCTGGCTGCCTGTGCTGACGCTGTGCTCACCGAGATGGGGAGGATGAAGGCTGCTCCCCGGCGGGAGCCTGCAGACTTCCAGAAATGAATCCCGGATACGTGATCTGTCTGTTGTTGTCCTGTCCTGACGTGCATCCTTGTCCAGAGTGACCAACCACCCTCTTTTGACAGCGCTGCTTTGCTTGTTCGCGTTGTCCGAGAGAGTCATAGCAGGTGTAATATGACTGACTCTATTCTAGCCCACAAGAGATATATAGAATATGTATTATGCCTCTATCCCTATATACCAACCTCGCCCCGCGAGTCTCACTAATTCTTCGGCCCCGTCCGGGGAGACGGAGAATGGCGCTGGCCCGCGCGCGTCGACCCACGTCCCCATGTCTCGGAGAGCAGGATGGCGGGCAGGATGGCTGGCTGGCTGGCGCCGCTGGAATGCCATGTGTGCGCGAGCCAGTCCTCCCTTGCTTGACTGGCCCTACAACTGGCATCCTCTCCCCGCGTCCCGCTTCCGCCCGATCTGCAGGAATCCCTCGTTCCCGAGTGGCGCACTGAGACAACAAAGCAGATATATAGGCGGGTATATGCGTGCGTGGCTGGCCGGCTGGCTGCCTCGCCTTACTCCGGTTGGAGTGGCCCGTACTGTTTGGCTGGGAATAGCGAGGCTTTTTTTTTTTTTTTTTTTTTCGTTGTTGTTGTCCTCCCTCCCGACATCGGTACGCCACCGCTTGCAGTGCTGGTGTTACTCATCGGCGCCCATCCAAGCAAATAGCGGCGAGAGAAGATTGAGAGAATGGAGTGGCGGCTGAGTGAGACGAAAAGGGGCGGGATGGCCTTTCCGCAGCGAGTGGGAAGCATGACACCGGCACAGCTTGGGCGGCTCGGCTGTCTACCTTCCCAAACCTGCTGTTTTCCCCACCGACCAACCTAACCCCCTCTACTCCCTTTCTGCTCCTGCTTCGCCGCTCACGCCGCCACCCGCTTCTTGGCGGGCAGGCGCTGCACGGCGGCGGCCAGCGCCGCCCGCATCCGGCCGAGCTCGCTGGCCCGGGCTGCGCAGGCGGCGCAGGGGAAGCCGGCGGCGCTGCTGCGGCGGACGCCCTCGACCTTGCGGAACGGGCACCTGTTGTGGTCGCCCTTGGCCGCGCCGACGGTGCACTCGGCCCGGAGCCGGGTCGACAGCTTGCCGCAGCACTGCGAGTGCTGCACGTGCTCGAAGTTGCACATGGCGATGGTGATGACTGGAGCTGGGATTGGGTTTGTGACTGGAGGTGAGAGTCTGGTCGCGGGACCTGTCCTATATCTCTCAGTCCGAATGGCAGTAAATAAGTTTGCTTGGCCTCCGGGGCTATGAGGAGCTGGTGATGTGAGAGGTTGTCTTTAGAAGGAAAGAAGCCACTCCAGTCGGCCTTTAATCAAGGTCTTATTGATGCTTGAGATCTTGTGCTAGGTTCTGCCTCTTGCTCAACATGGAGCGGTATCGTGGAACCTTATACCGGCCCGTTTTTGGACGAAGGGCATGATAGTTTTTTTTCTCTCATGGCAACTGATTCCCCTCGTACACGCTTGAGCCTCTTCCATCCTACACACTGGCCAAGGGGGATGGGCGAACCATGAGTTCTATCACTTCTCAGATATCGAAGGCCTCTCCGAGCTGCGCGTGGCGTGTTGGTGCGACATGGGTTGGGATCCCGCGCATTCGAAATTCCCAACGCTCCGGCCATGCCTACCGTGCCATGTCTTTGTCCAAAGTGTCAGGCGCTCTGCAGCCGGAGGGAGAGAAAAGCAAGAGCTCGCAGGTGTTTCGTTTCAGGCCGACCAATTGCCAGGCCTGGGCGTGTGTTCACGGCAACGGACCGCCGACTCGTTCTTTCTCGCTCGTTCCATTTGTTTGCTGGCTTTTAGCTGTCCGCCGTCGGCTGTGGCCATTGTGCACCGCTTGGTTGGTGGTCCTCTGGCTTCGGGCGCCATCGTGCAGTCATCGGCAAAGGCGACGTGATACTCTCTCAAGGGAGGGGCGATTGGGTTGTGACGACGAGCGCAGCGTGGTCTCACAAATCTTGCGCATCTAGACCGGGCTGGGCTTTTTGCCGTGCGTGACGACATGGCCATGGCACAGATCAAGGGGCTAGAACAGTCCATACATTATACAAAGATAAATATCAACTAGTAGTCACTCACCCAAAAAAAAACCTCTCCGTGTCTCGGAAGCGCCCGCTGCGCGCAGAAACAGCCAGTAGAATAAAGACAACAAAAGAGAAGCACATGCACAATGTAGCCCTCACCATTTAGTCCACGAGGCGGGCAAGCCCCAGGCCGTCAAAGAGCGGCAGCAGGAGGGCCTCGAGGCGGGCGTGGGTGGCCAGGGCGGTGTTGAAGCCGTCGAGGCACTCGATGATGGCCGCGTCTATGCTCGCGCTGTTGGGGTTCTCGGGCCCGCTGTGCGCCACGAGGCCCCGGCGGAGCACGTTGTCCGCCACGATCAGCCCGCCCGGCCGCAGCAGCCGCGACGTGGACCCGGGCTGCGACCGCGCCAGGATGGCGTCCAGGTACTTGGGGTACCCGACCTTGTCGGCGTCGATGAAGATGATGTCGTACGGCTCCGTCACCTCCAGGCTCGGGAGTCTGTTTTTTTTTGTGTTAGCGGGGCGAAAATACGGCTTGTTGGGACAAAGGGGGGCTTTGGGGCGCAACAGGTTGCGAGGGATGGTGACGGGGTGGACTTGCGTTGTGGCGGCGTCCCCGACGATGATCTCGACGTTGCTGAATCCGTTCTCCTTGACTCCCCGTCGTGCCTCCTCTGCGAAGCTGTGGACGATAATGAAACGATGAGTATTAGACATGTGTTCCAGATGGACAAGATCTGCACAGTGGAGGACAAGCAACGTGCAACATTGTGAGAGAGGGGTGGCCGGATCACGTACTCCGCATCGTACTCCAGTCCAGTGACCTTGCCAGCCGGGCCGACGGCATTGGCCCATACCATGGCAGAGAATCCCATGTACACGCCGATTTCGAGCGCTGCGTGGCCATGTAGAAGGTACAGTTAGCAGAAAGTCTGGCCTTATGTTGGAATGTAACAGACAAGGGGATAGGATTAGAGGCGATAGGGGAAACTATCATCGTGATCTAAGATACAAAACGAACCTCTCTTTGCCTCGATGCTCCTTGCCAGGAAGGTTAGTGTCTTTGCCTGGTACAGACTGATGGTGTAGTAGGAGTCGGGCCGCTGCAGGATTTTCTCGTGGTACCTGACCAGCACCTCGGACAGCCCGCTGCTCTTGGCGTCAGAGTACTCTGTCACACTGGCCGCGACGACGCCATTTGGGTACAGGGCTGGGACGAGCTCCTTCATTGTGGTGAGGAGAGGCTGGGGGTGGGACACAAAACGGTCACTATAAAAGGGGCTAAAGACTATTTAGATGCTGAGATGCTGGAATGTGCTTGAAGGTCAGATGAACAAGTTGGATATGCCAAACCAAGAGGTGGATATACGGGCTTAAATATGTAAGCAAGGCGGGCGTGAAGTTGAAGCTATTGGTTGTTTCTTCAATCGGGTTCAATTGAAGATACAGGACGGTGCTCGGCTTTCTCTATCGCTCTCAAACACAAAGCTGCTCACGCCCAAGGCCTCGCGCGGCTCAGCGCTCGGCTCCGGGTATCCGAAACCCCGCATCGCCGGCTCGGTCTGCATTGGCCGGGGCTTCCCCCGCTCACACCTCGGCGCTCGGCTCGGAAGAAACAAAGATCTCAGGATTCAGCGAGCACCGCAAGCCGACCATCAATATCACCTGTAAAAGCACACCAATCATATCGTGTTTGTTTTCGCCCACATCCAAAGCCTCGTATTGATTAGAAAGATGTAAGTTGAGAAATGAAAGCCACACTACACCGGGGGGTTATTTTGTGACAGGTCATCGAAACCCCTTCCCCGTCCTGAGAATGCTCTTTTGCCCGTAGCATGTATCCAAAACAGAACGCTCTTCTTTTTTCGCCTTTGCCCCATCCCTCCCCAGAAACTGCGAGTGCGAGTAGGTTGTATCGTCTTGTCGGAAAAAAAAAGAAAACGCCGTTTTGTCCAGTTGTGGAAAAAGCAAAAAAAAAGCCAAACCCAAAGGAGAGATGGGGATGAAAATGCCTCCCAAAACAGCCGGTAAAAATGTGTCTAGATAAATGTGCAGTATTGCACTGTGTACGTCTAGCAGGCTAGACCAGGTTCAAGAAGAGAAAGAAACCATCAAGAGCAAATACAGCCGAAACTCCTTGTCTGTGACCATCGGCGTCCGTGTTTCCGTTTCGCATACCGGCGTCGTGTAAGCTTTGCTGGCTCACTTGGGGGGAGTCGGAGTGAGGCCCTCCTCACGAGCTCGAATCGGGTAAATGGTTGATGATTTGTGTTGGTTGTTGTAACCGGCAAGTGGGATCCTTTTTTTTGTTGGTGTTGCTGTTCGTTGTTGAGAGGTCGCAGGTGTCGTCTCTCAGCGACTTCTATGCCAGGGCGGCGAAGGCGGCCGCTGCGGCCAAAAGGCTGGCAGGTGCCGCCATGCGGCTGGCGAATCCCTTAAGCACGGCTGGAGGCACGTCGTCAGCAGCAGGAACAGGCGGAGAGGAAACAGGCACAGTTGCGGGGGACACGGAGCTGGAAGCTGGGGCTGGGGCTGCCTCGGCTTTGGGCTGGGGTGCGGGTTCGGGAGCTGGGGAAGGTTCCGGCTCGGCCTTGGACTTAGCCTTGGGCTCGGGAGCTGCTTGTTTTGGGCTGGGGGGAGGAGGCGGCGGGGGAGGAGGGGAGTGGTGGGTGACAGGGGTGTGAGAAGGTTCCTCCTCAGGCTCAGGAGCAGAGGCGGCAGCGGGGGCGGGGACGTGCGAGTGTTCGTCGCCGGGGTGAGGGGCAGGGCAGGTGGGTGTGGGCGGGGAAGGAGTGTCATTTTGGGCGACGATGTGATCAGGCTCCTCGTCAGATTCAGGGGCAGGACGATGGTGGGCGGGCGGGGCAGCGGCAGGAGCGGGAGCGGGAGCGGGAGCGGGAGCGGGAGCGGGAGCGGGGGCTGGAATGGGAGCCGGAATGGGAGCCGGAATGGGAGCCGGAATGGGAGCCGGAATGGGAGCCGGAATGGGAGCCGGAATAGGAGCCGGAATAGGAGCCGGAATAGGAGCCGGAGCCGGAGCCGGAGCCACGTTCGGCCAAGGGATGTACTGGGGCGCGGGGGCGAAGGGGTAGGGAGGAGCAACAGCAGGCACCGGTGGGCCGAAGAGGGGCTGGGCTGGAGGCTGGTACACGACCGGGGGGTTGTGGATGTGGACCTCGGGAGCGGGCAAGTGCCTGTCCGTCGCCTGTTCCTGCTGGTGATTACGGAAGGGGCGCCTGTTCCCAGCCCTCTCCGCCTCGGCCTGAGCCTCGTGCTGGTGCTGATGTGCGGGGTGGAAGTGCGGGTGGTTATGGTGATGCTCTAAAGGGGCCGGACGGAAGTCCGGGTCGCCCTCCAGAGGGCGCGGGTGGTGGTGCCGATCCCTCTCGGGCAGATCCCTCTCGAGGGGGGAGTCGACCTTGACAACATACCGGTGGGGGTGGCTGGCGGTCCGCTTGGCCTTCTCGTAGACGGTCGTCGTCGTAGTGACCGTGGTGGGGGCCGAGGTGGTGGTGGCGGTGACGGTAGACACGGTCGAGGTCGTGGAGAAGGTGGTGGTGACGAAGCTGGTGGTCTGGTATGAGGTTAACGTAGAGATCTGGGGGGCACGGGCGGCCAGCCTGGCCTTGTCGTAACCCTCATCCTCGGTATAGACGTCGTAGTTCTTCTCGTCGTAGCCGTAGTTCTTCTCGTCGTAGCCGTAGTTCTTCTCCTCGTCATAACCGTAGTTCTTCTCCTCGCCATAGCCGCCGTAGCCCTTGTGCTTGTAGACGGTGGTGGTGACCGTAGACGTCGGGGTGATGACCGAGGTGGTGGTGACCGTGCCCGTTTGGAGGATCGAGATGGAGGACGCCGTAGTGGTCTGGGAGGTGGTGGTGAGGTAGCTGGTAATGGTGACGTCCTGGGCCATGGCCTGGGCAGCCAGGGCCGAGACGAGAAGAATGCTGAGCTGCATCTTGTCGGGTTTGGTTCTTGAACCTGGGATGGGCTAGAGTGAACGATTGTGGGTTTGTGAGAACGAGAGACTGTTGTAAACGAGGCTGCAGAGGATGGGTTGCGGGTGAGGGTAGAAAGAAGTTTGAGGCTTGAGGTCGAACGGCCTCTCTTCTTATACATGTCTAGTGCTCCTCTCGGTCCGCGCCTTTCTCTCGTGTTGTTTCGTTTGCATACCCCCGCCACCGCCTGGGGCACTCGGCAGGAGAACACGGCGAGATGCAGAGCAAAGACATTGTTTGGCCTGTGCATGTGGTGCTGACGAGGTCGTTGACGGCGACACCTCCCTGCCCACCCAGCCAGTCGAGGAGGTGATGGGTTTGCCTGTGCTTGTGGCCGGTTCTGGCCGGGCCTGGTTGAGATTTTTGCCACGAAAGTAAGAGGCACGAGGCCATAGTCGGCCCGTTGCTCTGTTGATTTGGCTGTGACTGGATATTCGAAGAAAGCTTGCTCGCCGCCGCACGAGCCTTGCGAGGCTGGCTACATCGTCAAAGTTCCAGCGGCAAATGCATGCCTCGGCCCCTCGACTGAAAATCCATCCCAAGGCGCTTGATTGTGGGCAGCTTCCATCTCGACGTCAGCGACCCAAAAGACAACATTCTATCGCACTCGCACGTGAATGTCACAACACTAACAACGCGTCTCGGAGGGCGATCACGAAGAGGCTCGGAAAAGGCGAGAGATCCAGTTCAAAGAACCTGATTTGGCTTTTGATATTGGGTTTTGCTCGAGGCTGGCCGAATCCGCGCCGGCCGAGCTCTCATTAAAAATCATACATACAGTCAGTCGCTGCTGTCATTGACTACCTACAGTCTGTTATGGCTTTCGCTAATGCGCAGTCTCGGCCGTTGATTAACCGTCCCGAAATGGCAGTGCTGCGGTCTCCTTACCCTCCATGTAACCAACCCCCCCATCTGTCCACAGGGGTCGCCCAAATAAGCCCAGGGCCGAAACGTGTAGAAAGAAGCACATATTGCCCTCCATGAAGCCGGGAAAAACACTAGCCGGTCGCTGCAGTCGAGAAACCCCCACTAGGTGTCCCGCTCTATTCCTCGGGCGGCCCCGAGAAGAGACCAACCCGCATACGGTGACTCTGAGGTGTTGGATGCAAAGTCAGCAAATAGGGTCATTATGGAAAAGGGTGGTGCGGCCGCAAGCGATCATAGACGGCGCGGGGGCCGGGGGAGGTCGGGGCTTACAAATGGCAGCTTGGGGATGACGACTCCCAAAACCGCAAGAAAGTTTATGGTAAAGTACGTAAGGTCGTAGTGAGTGTAGTGCGTGCTGAGGAGGAAGAGCACGATGGGGACGCTTGTCAGAAACTTCTTGGACGGGGTGTATTGGGCGCCATCATCAATCTGTTCCCACATGTTAAGGTTGTCGTAGGCGCCCGAGTTGAACTCAAACGGAACACCCCTGACGTAGTGGAACATGATGTAGGAACCAAACATGTAGGATATGTTGGTCAGCGTCCATGACGTCTCCTGCGACACACCGGGAATCACATCGTAGAGAATCTTGAGCGCAATGATGAGGACGATATGGATTCCCCACGCTCCTATGGGGCGATTCAGAAGACAGTTAGTTCGAGGTTCACACCACATCGTACTACCCAGCTGCCAACACCCCCACGTCGCGAGCTCCCAGGTACAGAGTCTCGCTAGTGCCGGCCTAGAGTAGGGGATGCAGATGCCATTCCCACGACATGCTTGCCGGGTAGCCATGGCGACCAGCAGAGCCATTGGTCGAGGCAGGAAGTGGCGGCGTGGAGGGAAAGGTCAAGGGCAGGCGGTCGTGATCTCACCCTTTGCATTGACCCAGTTCGCGTTCAGGTTGGGCAGCGACGACTGGTCGCTGAGCTGCTCTTGCGGCTCTTGCGGCTCATGGTAGACCTGGAGGATGCTGCTAGACCTCCGCCGGCGGTTGCTCTTGGCGTCCGAGGCCATTTGGCGAGCCCGGTACGAGACACTTCCTCGGCGGGGAGGATGAGTGCCCTCGTCGTACTGGACGGTGCGCGGGAGGAGAATTTGGGAAGACAGTTTGGCGGTGTTCGGCGACAAGGGTGTCTGGACGTGGATGAGCAGGCCTGGCTACCTCGGAAGACTGGTAGGCAGACGAGCAGCGCCGTTCGTTGCTGGCGTGATGCAAGGGACTGGAGCTGGCTTGTACGGCTGCGCTGGTTACGATATGTGGTCGTTGTTGCGTGAATGTGTGGGTAAGGATGAGATCGCAGGAAGGGCTTGGTTGGTATCGTCAGCAGAGCTGGAGCGAGAGTCGTGGCACAGGCCGAACTTGGTTCTCTCGAGCGTGATCAGGTGGTGATGTAATATCGAGATATTCTACGCAGATGCTGCGATTCCAGGCCAAGCAAATGTTAGTGAGCAGTCTTTGTTGCCGCTTTGCCGTCGTGATGGTGTTTTGAGGGGGGCCGGAGTATGCAAAGCAGAGACCTGGGTATGGGGGAGCTAGGTCTGGTCGTAGAAAGAGGTCGGGGTAGGACGCGTGGATGGCTGCATGCGATCACGCGATGGACTATCAAGCAGTAGGAAGCGAGGACAGGAGACGTGGGCGGACACTAAGGGGGAGGGCATCAAGTCCAAGGGACTAGGTAGCTGGGCGTACTCACCAGGGAGGAATGGATAAATCAAGGACGATGCCAGTGGGAAGCTGGTCAGAGGTGAAGGCGTCTGCGTTGGAGAAAACCATCAATCACGACCCGGTCGTCGACATGGCTTTCGATGCAGACTGACGTTGCTGGACGGTATCTCGGTCGCCTGCTTCTGGCCAAATGTCACCCCCAAATGGATCGTACGCGGTACGCCTGGCTGGCTGGCTGGCTGGCTGGCTGGCTGTGATGGGCCAGGAATACGCTGTACGCGGCCCAAGGGCCGGGCCTGCATTGACCGGAAACACCATTTTTCCGAACGGCTCGACTCCTGGCTGTCCCCACTTCAGAAGATCCACGGCGGTTCTAGCGCCGCCCAATTATATTAAGCGAAAATGTTGGCCCAAGACCCTGTCCGTTCCTACCCGTTCACTCCATTTTAGAGTGAGGCCATTAAAAAAATTGGGAATTGCGCTTGGGATATCCATTTGGTCGCAGAGAAAAGGAGACTGAAACCGGGCTGACGACACAAACATCAAACAGCGACTCCAAAGCCACGGCTTTGATTTCCAACACGAGCCACTCCAACGTCTGCCCTTCTGGATACGAGGCGTGGCCCGCTTTGTGCACTTTGCGCTGCATTCGCTTGCTCTACCCAAGCCAACAGGGTGCCTTTCCCCTCCAGGCACGTGCGAGCGCTTGGCTCGGAGTCGCGTCGCGATTCTCTCATTGCACCAGCTGGACAATGCCCGAGTGGACTGGTTCATAATTCGATTCCACGCCTCATGCGCCTCATTGTCATCTGATCGCAAACCCGCTTCCATTGGAAGAAGCGAGAGATCTATCTCAGGCACACGGGCGCATTGTCGCCAATATCTGCTCAGTTGCTTCTCAGCCAAGCTCCAGCAACCCAGGACATGGCGGAACAGACGCAGGACCCCAGCGCTAGCCTGGTGGCAGACGCCCCAGTTGAGGCTACCAGCGAGGCACAGGAAGATACCCAAAGCCGTACCGGCAACAAACGTTCGCGCGAGGACATTTCTCTTGACGAAGAGGGTGTTGCGACCGGTGTGAGCAACCAGGTTCCTGCCGCCGACGCTCTTCCGCCATTGAAACGGACGAAGCAGCAATCGAAAGGCGAAGAAGGCACACCTGCTTCTGGCTCGCCGCCCTCATTGCGGGACCTTGAGAACCCACAGGAGCCAGCCAAGGAGGATACAGCCCAGGAGCCAGACCGGAAACCAGGATCGGAAATGTGTGTCAAGAAAGGGCAGGACACAGCCCAGTCGGTGCCTGGGCAGAAGCCACAGGAAATTCCCGCCCCCGCGCCGCTCGACTGGAACAGCGGTATCCATAAAGGCATCCGGACGTCATTTGGAAAAACGACCACTGCGCCATCGTTTCTCAAGTCTCGTCAGCGGAGCCTCGTGATCCCGGCGGGGGCTGGGCCTGAACCCCAAACGTCGGACTCGTCACAGAAAACCACTCCCCGTGCTGCAGAGAGCTCTGTAGACTCGGGCGCAAGCGAGAATGACGAGGTGGCAAAACCCATCCCACCCGTCGCCAAGATCAAGGCGAAGAAGGGAAATCAGGTCAAGCTCAAAAACTCTACTTGGATACAACCACCCACCAACTCGCTTGCTATGGGCGGCACGAGAGCCGACTACCTGAACTACTGCCGTATGTTCTGTGCAGCCAACTCGGCCAGCACTAGCTTCGCCTCTGTGAAGCCACATCTGGTCAAGCGCGCCTACAAAGCGTTCCTGGACGAGCCTTCGATTCCCGCCGCGGTGCGGACGCAAGGTAGACGGACCGCGAAGACGGTTGACGGGAATGAGGTGGCGATGATTATTGCTAGAGCCATGGGCTCAGCTCCACAATCCGCCGAGAACGGGACGGCGGTCGAGCAGGCGGCGGGCGACCACTCGCCTACAGCTTCCTCGCAAGTCGCAAATGCAGCGGACTTGACCCCTGCGGTCACTGATCAGGTGCGCCCGCCCAGCGGCATGCCATATCTGTCTCGCGAAGAGGAGCTCCGGCAACTTCGTCGCTATTTCCCTAGCGCATCTGAGACAGACTTTTGCGTTTGGTGCTGTTCCACTGGCCACGGCGCGAATGACTGCCCGCCGCCGAGTTGTATTCATTGCGAGGCCCAGGGCCACACATCCGCTCGCTGCCCGACCAGGATACGTTGCACCAAATGCAGAGGTCTGGGCCATAGCAAGGACGAGTGCCGAGAGAAACTCCGGTTGGCACCTGGGGAGGAGGACGAATGCGCTGTCTGTGGCGCTGCCGACCACCTGGAAAACTCTTGCGAGTCCCTGTGGCGAACTTACTACGCGGACCCCTCAACCGTCCCCAAAGTACGGTCCATTGCAGCATCCTGCTACAGCTGCGGTTCGTCGGAGCACTTTGGTGGCGATTGCGGACAGGGTGACCCCACGGATCGCATATGGACGCTTGCCAATAGGGACATGTACGTTGATCCCGAGAGCGACATGGAACAACTGTCGTGGGTGCCGCCCCCGCCTCCTGATGAGGGCCGGCCCGATTTGGGCGGACGAAGCATTGTACCGCAGACACACATCTACTACCACAGTGATGATGATGAGGAGGAAGGCGAATTTATCCGACCGTCGGTCCGCGAGAGGACCGCGCAGTCTAACGGACAGATCAGGATAAACGCGACGGCCACGCTCAACGGTGATGGGAGCACTCTGCCCAGCAGGCCCCCGCAACCCAGGAAAGGAAACCCGCCACTCCCACCCGGGCCGCCACCGCCGTTGCCACCGCAGAATGGCCGCCAGCGCGCGCCGCTGCGTGGCAGGGGCGGAACCCGAGGAAGGGGAGGGTTCAGCAGAGGCCGCGGGAGGTAAAGGGGTGGCGATATAAAGCATGCCCTGAGTGGTCGACAGCCACTGCTTCCACGACCCGGAATTTAGCCCGAGGTGCGTACAGTTGGCAGGGCTTTTAATGAGTGGTTCTGCCTCTCACATCGAAGGGCGAGGGCTGTGGTTTCGCCATTCCCCATTGGCGAGCGAGGACAGCCAATGTCTGCTAATGGCTCCGACAAAAATGCGGCACACGTAGCAACACCAGTCGCATTGCCTTGGTCCATGCAGCACTCGAGATTACATAAAGACGGTGCCTTTTCCTTTTTCTTTTGCTCTCTTTCACCCGGTCATGTCTTTGCAAGGCGATTCTGGAAGCTACCCAATGGTACAGGGGTGACTGGCCTATTCTCACCACTTACCACCCTGATGCGTTGGCGAACGAGGATCCGTGCAGTCCGAAATTGGACACCTCGACGTGACTGACTTGCAAAGAGTGTGTGAAGGACGTCCCAAGATCATCCTGAGGTCTGTCGTCGCATCCGCTATTTCAGAACCTAGCCAAACCCGTCGAGGACTTTAGTCACCATCTCTCGCGTGCGGTATTCAACATCGCGTGATGGCTGATGATGCCTTCGATGTGCAGCAGCGCCGCCGCCCCGTGTCTGGAGGCCCTCGGATTTTTACGATGGACAGTCGGTATGCTGAGGAATATCAGTCTAGCCGTGCTAGCCCATTTTAGACCGCGCGGGCCGGCTTTGAGGGGGTAGCCTTTATAGCGCAGTGTCACACTGAGTATGACTCTTTTCGGGTGGGATAGATGCTGGGGTCTTGATTTGCCGGTGGCTCGCGCGCCATGGGCACTGGCGAAGGGGATGGCCGCCTGATGTTGCCGAGAAGCGGACTGTAGCAGGGGTCTGGGCTAGCGGCTGGCTTGGAGCGTTGCATGCTAGGCCGGGACTGGAAAATGTTTCGAAACAGATCTGCCGGGACAAATCGCCGAGCGGGCAAGGCCAGGCTGGCGAGGGCGACCAAGACGGGTGCTGGCCGTGCGGCGTCGTGAGAGGGTGGGGTGTGAAGGGTGGGTGGAGCCGGCGATGAGCAACATCAGTCATCGATGCCTGTCTGCTGCCTGGACGCTTTGCACGACGGCGTCCTCCCCTTGCCCGTCGCGCCAGTTCAAAAACCCCGTCGCGCCCACCACCAAGCAACCGTCGCCCGCCAACCCGGACGCGTCAATATGGCAGCTCGATGAGACGCGACTCTTGTTGTTTTCTGCCCGTCGCCACGGTTTCCTGGGCACAGCCGCGCCCTCCCCCCCTCCCTCATCCGAAGCCTTCCCCATTTCCATCCGAAGCCATCGCAGAGCCGGGGCCGGCCGGCTGACGCACCCCACTCATCCGGATTCGTCCTATCCATCGACTTGGACGGCAGACCCGTCGCAGAGCTGTCCGAGCCCTGGGGGCCACGGCATCCAATCTCGTCACGCCCGCCAGAACGGGGCTCCATGCCGTCCACATTGCGCATGCTGTCGAGAGCTGCCTTCACACGTCAACGGCGGACAACGCAGCCTCAGGGTCCTGGATGGGCACCCGTCACTCTGCGGAGTGTAGCAGCTGCAGCCCAAGGCCTAAAAAAAGGAGCCTGAGGAGAAACATGTGTCGGCCCGCCGTTGCTCAGCCAGAACCCAAACCCCCCTTTCGAGATCCCCCCACAGCGGCCCAGCCAGACCAAGCACAGCGCTTGTTTCGCCTCGTTGTCCACGGGCAGAAGATGGAGGGGAGGGGCGCGTCTACGTGTCGATTTCCCGTCAGTTTGGCGTTGGCTGCTGCAAGGGGAAGGCTGCAAGGCCGGACGAATCAGGGACGGGCGAGTGCCCCCCCCCCCAGCGCTGGCCAGCCACGCTGCTGCGCTTATCGATAGCGCTTGCAACCCCACACAGCCCGTCGAAGAGTCAAAACGGGTGGGGTTTCGAGCTGCAAGCTGCAGCTCCTCCTGTTGTCCTTGACCAACCCCCTGCCTTTTTTCCAGTCTTTTGTTCCTTTTTTCCCTCAGGGCCCCCTCGAACAAGGGGGTGTGCAGCACGAGGGGGATCCTCTGCGACCAGTCAGCGAGGCCCCACGGCACGCGGCCCAGACGTCCTGCAGCAGACCTGCATGCGCCCGCCTGAGGCGACCAGGACGGCATGCAGCCGTCGGGCCAGTCAGAGGGCGCGGCGCCGTCGCTGTGGCCCCTTTGCGACGATAGCTCCTCGAGCGACGGACGGTGTCACCCACCACCACCCCTGTGGCTCGACCGGGCTAGCAGGGCATTGGCAGCATATGCATGCGCATCCATCGACCTCTTTGTGAGTCACTCATCCACCACCAGTCAATCTCGACCGACGAGGCCCCGGAGCGACACGGGCATGCGGGGAGGCGCATCGGCAAGACACCAGAGCAGTGTCGCACGAGGCCGACTGGCGCCGCTAGCGGAGTGCGCAAGAGGTGGGTGCAGGGGAGACTCGACGAGGGGGAAAAGGAGAAGGCGCAAAAAAAAAAGTCAATGGACGGGGTGCGACACTTGCTGGTCCCGGATCACCAAATACACACCGCTTGGTATAACTGGCTGCCTCCTTCTGATCCGTTTCGAGCATCCAATCCTCCCAGCCAATTCCCTTGTCCTTGCTCCTCACTCGAACCAGAGACATCCACCCAAGATCCCACTCCCATATCCCGTCTCCAGTCGGGCACGAACCGAGGCGGTCCCTCTATCAAATCAGGACTTGAGATTTGGCGCGCTGATGGGAGTCAAATAACCTCGTCATCGGCCTTCTCACTCCCCTCCGACTCCCCTCTTCCCCCTTCCTCCTCTTTGACTTCATCATCGCCCGGTGCGCACCGACTGTCTGGCCCTTTTTTACCAGTGTATTGTATATGTTTTGTTGCCATTGGTTAATCTTATTCTATCGATCTCATCCATCTGATACCCCTCGCGCTTGTTGAGACATCCATACATCTATCCATACATCTATCCATACATCATACCTGGGTACACACCCATAACGCAACAGAAATACACGGACAAGAAGCCGTGATATAGCAGACACGATCAAGACCGTCTTTCCCCAGACTCACACGCGACCACACATATCAGGAGTGCACCGCTACGATATGTTGCAGTCATGGCCGCTGGACCGATCTCGTTCTACTGCCTCTGGCAGGAGGAGCGCATCCGTGAGACCCTCTTCGAGCTCCTCGCCAATGAGGACATTTGCTCCGTCAGACTCGCCAACTCGGCGTGCTGCAACCTCGTTACCAAGCGCCTCTTCCTACGAACCAACCTGAACTTTGGCGCAAACACCTTCACCAAGGCCTCAAGGATCCAGGCCCTGACCCGGATCGGCCACCACATCCAGCACCTCACCTTTAGCTTTGCTCACTCCGAGTCCACCTTCCTGCCGCCATTGGTACACCCGGAAACGGGCCAGGAGATCAGCTTTCTTTACACACCCTATACCCACATGGTGTCGTCCCTAACGCGGCCCAAGTACGCCAACTCGGAGCTGGGCGACATCCTCACGCAGCAGTACCCCCCGCTGTTCCATGCGGCAACCAATGTGCCGTCCTTCATCAATGCCCTGCGTCACCTGCCCAATATGCGTCACTTGACCATCCGCTGTCCCGGTCAGGACGCCAGGGAGCGCTACCGTCGCGACATTGTCGACTATGCCCTCATCAGTCTGCGCATCTCACTGGAGCGAGCGCCGCTGTTCAAGCTGAACAAGCTGACGCTGGCGAGCGTTCACCCGGCCGCCTTCAACTACCTGCGCCACGTGCCCGGCTTCGGCTGCACGCCGTCGGCCGGCCGCAGGTGGCGTCAGATCCGCAAGCTCTATATCCAGGTCGACGCTTGGGACTTTTACGGGCCCTCGCCAGGACTGGATCACCTCAAGATCATTGACGACTATATCCGTCACCTGGCTCCAACCTTGGAGAAGCTGTCCTTTACCTGGATCGGCCGCAAGGGGCCTTGCCCTATTGCTCTGCATGCGGACCCGCTGTTCGCACCGGCGCGCACTACGAAGAAGCTCTTTAACGAGGTCACTTCACCAATGAGCCCATTGCCACCAGCTCCCACACGCGCACCCATGGTGCTCCCGCGTCTGAAGCGCCTCATGATGCGAAACGCCACCATGAGCGCTCCACAGGTGTCGAGCTTCATTCGTATGCACCAGGCCACGGTGCGCGAGTTTGACTTTGAGAATGTCGTGCTGCTTCACGGTGGAAGCTGGGACGACGCTCTTAGCCCGCTCACCGACCAAAACAGTGACCGTGGCAGCGATCTCTGGTCACGCCATTCCATCGGCAGCCCAGTTGCCGAAAAGCCCGCTCTAGCCAAGGCGCAGAGCTTCCGCGGCGCGCCGCCCTCACCGGCGCCCTCGGGTGAGATTGCGTTGCCATCCCCGTCAGCCGCTGCCGCAGCGGCGTCCAGGGAGCTGCTCGATCTTGATGTCGAGGGGCTAGAGAGCTTCCTCGGACTCTACGGCGACTTTGGTGGCTTGCCGACCCCGCGCTCGTCGCCAGGCCCTCCCCAGTTCATGCTACCCGCGCCTACCACCATAGCTGAGGAGGACGAGGAGTACCAAGAGGTCCAGGTCGGCGCCGAGGAAAGCGACGACGGACTGGGCTCGGATATTGCAGCGGCCAAAGAGGCCAGCTTGTCAATCAGCACCAAGCTGCAGAAGAAACAAGTGCGTCGGCGCAGGAAGCACGCGACGACGCGCGAGGATGACGAAACCGAGGTTGAAGACCAGCGGCGTCATCACCGCCACCACAGGCACAAGGACGACGACAAGGCCCGCGAGCGGACTGGCGACAAGCATGACAAGCACCGGGAACGGGATAGCAGCCGCACGCGCGATGCCAATGGACATTCGTCCCGGCGTCGGCACCGATCCCGCTCATCGCACAACAAGCGCGGTCACCATGTCAGACACAGACATGAGAAGCGCGAGGCCGAGGATAAGAGGAAAAGGCCCGAGACGCCACCCCCGGCCATGCCCGAGGTCGTGCTGGCCGAAGGCGACGACGTCTTTGCACCGTCGCCCCGCGGCAGCCCCGCAGCGGCCTCGTCGTCATCGCCGCGACGCCTGGGCTCGCTGGGCTCGCCCAAGTTCAACATCTCGGCGCCCATCCTGTCCCGTGATCCAATGCCGCCTTTGCTGCTGCTTAGGCCGACCATCTACGACCCAGCACAGCATGGACAGGGACAGCAGGTACGAAGCCCAGTAGACACAACGCCGACCAGGCCGCAGGGCCGGAGGCGCGGGTCTGACGGCAGTCTGGACAATAGCGTCAATGATGACGGGCTGTCGCCGGTGCAGCGCAACCTCGAGCAGGAGGAGGCGCACCGGCTGCTGGCCGAGGACGCGGTGGCGCGCACGTCGGCGCTGCAGAAGGCAAAGGCCGCCGTCATGCAACGCCTCGCGCGCAAGTTGGGTAGTGGTCCCGGCCCTGCAGCTGGCCCTTATCCCGGGGGCGCGGGCATTGCCGTCGGTGGGCCTCTATTCGGCGCGGTCCCGCCCGACCTGGCGCGCCCCGGACCCAACAGCCACAACGGGCCGATGGGTAGTGCCGGCGGGCATAGCCTCGCGGGCGCCCCGTCGGGCATCATGGGGTTCCGCCTGCGGGAGGGCCTCTTTGGTGCAAAGAGCACCGTGTCTGTCGCTCAGAGCCACCAGAGCATCGACAGCAACACGGCCCTGGTGCCGCTGATCTTCAGCCGATAACTAACCCGGATTTTAAGGGGGTTGAATAACTACGTTTGACGATTTTACGAGCTTTACTCTTCTATTCTACGATATCTCGATGCCACGATCCTCATTTGCGTCCACGATCTTTTTATGTTTTTTTCCCCTTTGTTTTCTTCTAGGATGATGCGAAGCATTGCCGGCGCTCTTTGGTGTTCGGGACAGGTCGCGCGGATGGACCCTAGGGCAACAAAAACGCGACGGAGGATTAGTGCATACCATCCGTGTATTCCGGGCTGCTATGCCCGTGCTGTATGAATTAATGACAAATCCCACCAGATCTCTTGATGTTGCTCTGTATTCCATCGGAACAAACCTGGTCCCAGAATTGATTGTGCAAGTCTCCCCCTTGACGCTCCCCTTCCTCACCGTCCCGAACTCAGCCGCAGGACCACCCCCCAAACACTCATCCTGGCTACCGCAGGCCACCACGCCATTTTGGGCCCGCTGATTTCGGCTGGCGCTCAGCGGCTGACTAACAGGGGTGTTTAGCTCGTCCAGCCGCGACAAGGTGCTGGGAAATATCACGATGGCTTGGCGCTAGTCTCTCAGCTCAGGCGTCCTGCCACTCCAGCACCTGCAGCTCGCCGTGACACGGGCTAGGGGGGACCCCGGGCCGTGTTGAGATTTCGTAGGCTCCAGCCTGGTTCATCTCCCGTTTGCCCCTTTGCCGTGCTGGAGATAAATAGCCACGGCCCCTTGGCGGCCGTTTGCGGAAGAGAGGCATTTTTTCTTTTCTTTCATCAACACACTGACATCATTCGTTCTTTACGCATAAGGCCGTCTCTCAGAACGCCAAATAGTCCCGTCCTCCATCTTCATTCTGGTCTCGACAAAATACACAGCGCCCAAGTAACAAGACCCCATAGTCAAAATGGCCCCCCGCAGCATCATCCTTTTCGCCCTGGGCGCCCTCGCCGTCGAGGCCAACATGCTTCTGCCCCGCGCCGGCAAGGACGCGGGCCTGGACGACTCGATCTTCTCCATCTGCAGCACCGAGGTCCCGGCCCAGACCTCGTCGTACGAGGGCTGCTACTCGAGCGCCATGCTCGCCGTCGGCGCCTGCAAGGGCAGCCCGGAAGCGTGCGGCTGCAGCCTGTACACGGCCATTGCCAAGTGAGTTTCTTTATGTACCACACCCCAAGTGGTACCTACTAGAGAAGTGCTAGTTTTGTATGTTTACGTGCTGACCACTCGAGCCGCCTAGGACCTGCATCCCCATCGTCTGCCCCACCGCCCTGGCCTCGTCCCTCCTCTCGGTCGGCTGCGAGGCCCTGATCGGGGCGACGGCCACGGCCACGGGCGGCGGCTCTGCGAAGCCCACGTCGGCGGCAGGGACGGCCAAGACGGGCGGTGGCAACAGCGGTTCGGGCACGGCCAAGACGGGCGGTGGCAACAGCGGTTCGGGCACGGCCAATACGGGATCCGTCAGCCCCGTCTCCCCGACGCCGGCGCCTACGGGCGGGGCCGCGACCACGGGCGGCGGCTCGTCGGGCACTGATACTGGCTCGGGCTCGGGCTCTGGTTCTGGTTCGGGCTCTGGAGGCAGCAGCGCTGGTAGCAACAACAACGGCGGCAGCCCGCAAACCACCTCGTCTAGGGCTTTCGCTGGCGACATGGCGGTGCCCGTGGTTGGTGGTGCTATTGCTGGTCTTGTCGGTGCCCTGGCTGTTCTGCTGTGAAGTGGGAGTCGGTGGTGATGAGAAATGTGGTGGATGATGTGGTTATGTCCAAGTATCTGTATGGTTAATGTAATTAGTTGAGACTCCGTCCTGAGTCCCTAGGCTGGGACTTCAGTCTGCGTCCTCTCAGGGAGACTCGACCCCGAAGAGCCCAAACGAAATAAATCGAAGCTCTTCTCACAATCACCTCACTTGGCCCTCACCATTCCACATAACAGTCAAGGTCACAGGAAACAAACAAGTCGAGTCAACAAGACTTCATTGATGTTTGCCTCGACATTCCGATGTTTACTCTAACCAAGTAAACCACAAATCCGCGCCGAGGATCAGTCACATTCATTCACCCCTCCCTCGCCTCGCAACACCGTCTCGTCTCCCACAATGAATGGAAATGACGCCGCCGGTGACGCGAGCAGCCCTCCGCCCAAAACAGAGAGGCCTCGCTCCCGCATCATGGACCGCAAGATCCGCCCTAGCGGCTTCTCCGCCTTCAGTCCCGGCAAGCAAGGCCGCCGCATCCCCTCACGAGACCGAGACCCGCCGCCGCCGCCGCCGCTACCATCGACCACAGCCGCACCGGCCGCGACGCCGTCGACACCCGAGAACGCCAAGGGCAGAGGGCTGCTAAACGTCCGCGACCTCGTCAGGCGCATCGAGAAGTCTGGAAAAAGCAGCAGCAGCAGCAAGCCCGACGCTGGCGCTAGTCCGGGAGACGAAGCCGCTGCGGCAGCAAAAGACGACCAAGCCTGCCAGGACCAGGGAGCAGCATCGGCGACGATGCCGCCGTCGCCCGCGAGAGGGGACGGCGCTGCTTCTGCGCGCCACCGCCGCTTTCCGCTGCCGCCAACCACGCCGACCGCAACGCCGATCCTGCCGCCGCAACTGCAGCAGCAGCAGCGAGACGGCCCTCGCCATGGCGGCTTTCGCCGCTGCTATGACGACACAACGGCAGCGCCGCCCGTAGGCCAGGCTTCAGCCATCACTGCAATAGTTGAGAAGAAGCCGGCGGCAGCAGCATCGCCACCGCCGTCGCCGATAAGAGAGCAGGCCAAGCAGCGCCTGCCGCCCGAATACTCGCTCGCTTTACACCGAGGTCAGTTTAGCAACTCGCGTCTTGGCGACAGTGACGACGGAGCCAAGAAGAAGGCAGCCGCTCCGCAGCAGCAGCAGCGGGACAGCGCGGGCCGGCTGAAGGCCAAGAAGTCCGCTCTTGATGTGTTCGGCATTAGCCTCGGCGGCAGCAGCGTCGCCGCCGCCAACGCCGCCCCTGTCAAGGCCACGCCCGCCAGCGGCGGCGACGCCGGCATGCCCAAGGAGTACCTGGAGACGATGGCCTACGGCAAGGGCAGCTCCGAAGACGCCCGGCGGCACCATTCGCAACACGAGCCTGCAGCCAGGGAGAAATACACCGATATCAGTTCCAAGGGGAGAGGAAGCAGTGAAGTGACAGCGGATTCCACAAAGGCAAAGCGCAGCGTCTCGGGCCCCCCCAGCGAACCCCGCCTGGCGAAGCCGAAGCCCGCGTCCTACTCCTCCTCCGTCACATCCCCGACACCCGCGCCCGACGACGACGACGGCGGCAACGGCACGCCCCGGTGGCGCTCGGCGGCCGAGTCCAGGGTCTTCTGGGAGGGCGTGCGGGCGGCGCTGTTCGTGTCCGACGACGAGATGGGCGAGTACTCGCAGCAGCAGGACGAGGCGCGCTGGCTGCGGGCGCGCGAGGCGCAGGACCGGCTCTTTTGGCACCAGCAGCAACAACAGCAACAACAGCAACAGATGGCCGCCACTCCCTTGGGCAATGGAGGCTTCGCAAAAGACTGCGCCCTGTGCCGCGCCGCCGCCGCAGCAGCTGCTTCGGATGGGATGGGGCTCGCGGCGTTCCCCACGCCGCTGCAGCCCGTCACGCCCTGGGACCCCGCGGCCGTGGCGAACAGGTCCGCAATGGTCACGCCGCTGTGGAGAGGCTTCCGCCGGCACCGGTCGTTGGCCTCGGCCAGGTCGTCGACGAGGTGAGGTGAGGCGGCTTACCGGCCTGGCTCGCCCGTTTGTCCATGTAATGGAAGAACTTGAGCTTGTGGCCGAACCCGGATCCCGGCTCGCGAGTGCCGGTTTTTGATCTGATAGATTGATTGTACAGCCTCTTGTGGTGTATACGGGTTTTGAGGGCAGACTTTTGGGCCCCGGTCCATGTCGCAAATCCCAATGTCGTTCGCGTAACTGCAAAGCACTGTTTCGGCTGCCGAGAGTGCCGCTGCCATGCATGGCATAAATATCATGGGTGAAGCTTTTCATCTTTTATGGCAGTCCGCATTCAGGAGCAACACCTCTCGCGTCAAGTCCTGTCACAAAGTCCAATTTATGTTCCTCGATTCCTCTGAATCCCCGTGCCTGTTGAAGTGGCGCTGTTAAGTCCCTCCTCTGGGTTGACTAACCTCAACAAGGAAGCCCGCACATGGTTGCCGGCTGGCCTGATTGGTAGCCCTACCTCAGCGAGGGCCTGTAACCAAGCGACACGACTCCCTCTCTGGTATTTTCCTACAGGCAGCAGCCAGCCCCAGGAATGCCCATCCCCCACCATTTCTTTCCCTTCTCGCTCCCCCCGTCCATACCTACCTGTTGAGGGCTCCCGGCCATCTCAAACGTTGCCAGAGCGGGCAGTCGGTATAGAGGAGCCGCTGGCGATGGACCCATTCAGCGCGCTTTCCATCGCCACAGGCGTCATCGCCTTTGTCGACTTCGGTGGGAAGTTGCTCTCACTGTGCGCGGAAATCCAGAAATCCGACCAGGGCCAGCCCGCAGCGCTGTCTGCTCTTGAGGCCGAGTCTCGGGAGCTGTCGGCGAATGCAACCCACGCCAGAGAGAAGATTGACAGCCTTCAGGAGCGTTACCCTCGGCAGGTCGAATGCCTCGATCGCCTAAAGACAGAATGCGCATTGGCCGAGAAGGAATTGCAGCATCTCATCGATGGGTTACCGGCCCGGAGTGGCCGGACCCAGGCTTTGAGGGCTGTCCACATCTTATTCAAGCAAGGCGATTTCAAGAGGCTGGAAGACCGTTTGAAGAGCATTCGCGACCAGACAAATATGAGCATTACGATGTGTGTCGTGTACGTATCGCCTGCCGTTACCCATCATGTACTCACAACTTGAAGCTAACCCCCAACCCATGTGCTGGTGGACAGCGAACACTGCGGCAACATACAAGGCACCCTTCATTCCGTGAAGGAGGCAATCGACAACCTTCAGCCAGACGATCTTCAAGGGCTCAGCGGCACGTCCGAGAGAGACAGGATGGAGAAGGCATTGTGGACATCGATCGTTGCGGCAGAGAAAGCCAGTATCCACGCATCATCAGGGCCATCCATCGATCAAACCGAAGGGTCTCATACACCCACCAGCGACAATTCCATCGAAAAGAGAATCCTCGGGGGGCTCAGCTTCAACGATGTGACAGCCCGAGAAGATCAGATCGGAACTCCGTTCCCGCACACCTTCCAGTGGCTACTTGGAAGCTACGAGGGTAGCGAGAGCGATGAGAGTGGCCATGGTGGCGGGCCCTCATCGGCACGTCACCGGACAGGCTTCAAAGAATGGTTGGAATCCACGACCAACGAGACCCCCTACTGGATCACCGGCAAGCCCGCGTCCGGAAAAAGCACCTTGATGAAGTTCATCTGCACAAACGCGCAAACAGAGAAACACCTTCGTCGGTGGGCTGGCGAGCTTGAGCTTGTGATGTGCGGCATATACATCTGGAACCCGGGGTCCTCTCAGCAAAAAAGCCAACTCGGCCTCCTGCTTACGATGCTCTACAAGCTCCTCTTCCAGCGGCCGAACCTCTGCCGGCTTGCGGCAAAAAGTCACTACACGTACTTTCAGCTGGCCGGAGTAGGGGCTTCCAGCCCCCCGGACTGGACAATTGACCTGGTCAAAAACGCTATCGCCCGTTTCCTTGATGCGGTTCGCGATACCCATCGGGTTGCGGCCTTTTTCGACGGGCTGGACGAGTACGAAGGGGATCCATCGGAACTGATCGCGTTCCTATTGCACCTCGGCCGCAACTACGGCATGAAGCTCTGCTTTTCGAGTCGTCCGTTAAACGCCTTTAGGGACAAATTCTTTGCGTATCCGTCCCTTCGCATGGAGCAGCTTACCAAACCCGACATCGAGCATTACGTTCACACGCGAATGAAAGAAAGTCGTGCGATTGAAGAGATCCGGGAGGTCAACCCTCGCAGCATTGGGGACCTCGAATTTCAGATTGTGGACAAGGCAGAGGGCGTATTCCTTTGGGTGGCTCTCGTGGTTGGAAAGCTGGTCATCACGGCCCAAGATTTCAACAGTCTCCGCGCCATTTGGGACGTGTTCGAAGCGCTACCCCCAGAACTTTCCGAGTACTACGAGGTGATGCGCAAACGGCTCAGCGAGCCCCATCGCAAAGAGGCATCCAGAATGTACCAGCTCCTGCTTCGCTGGAAGGAGGTAATGGCCAGACACGCCATCACCGGCTGGGTATTCTGGGCCGCAATCAACCATGAAGATCTCGAACAGCCCCCCCAGCCACCTTCCAGTGAGGAGATAACAGGCATCATTCCCATGCTGGAACGGCGGCTAGCAGGATGTACAGGCGGCATGCTACAGGTCACCCGCGGTCAGGGAAGACACAGTGTCGACTTTCTCCACCAGACCGTCTTCGAATGGTTGCAGGACATTCGGCCCCAAATCATCAGTGATGGGCCAACAGGCTACGAGCCAGGCCTTGTCGTCGCTTCCGTTCTCGGTTCATTGTCCCAACCTGACCAACCTGACCAACCTGACCAACCTGACCAACTTGACCAACCTGACCGGCTTTACCAACCTGACCGGCTCTACCAACCTGACCGCGCCTCGGGTCTCACATGCCTCATTGCCAGGGTTTACGAGTTCGCTCGATCTTGCGATAACTCGCCTGAAACCAGAGTCAAGCTACTCTTGGTCATTGATCGGCTCGAGGGCGGAAGCATTCGGGACTTCATCGGGGTCTGGCTTGGTCCGGGAAGGTATGTGTACAGTTGTTCCAGCGGTCGCTCAGATGCGGCTCTTCGATGGTTCTTTGCGGCCGAGTTCTCCTGTCCCCAGTACCTGCGCGCCAGGCTTGAAAGGGGTTCACATCCCAAATGCCCGCGGTTCTACAGGATGCTATCGTCGTTCCACCAAACCAAATACGAGACGGACATATTGAACAAAACGATCATTCAAGCCGCGCTGGGGAGTTATCCTACCCGCAGGCAGGACGGCAGCTTATCGAACGTGAGACGAAACTTGAGACTGAAAACTCTCGAGGTTCTCCTGGAAGCTCAGTTCGTGCCTCGTCGGTTTCTGGAGAAGATAGTCAAACTCGAAATCGAGAGACATGAATGGCCGAAAGCATACAAGGAAGCTCTTTTGGCCCAGGTTCGTGGGAAAGGCCGAATCGAACTCACTGAGGAGGATGCTTCTGAACCCTGGGAGTAGGGTCGTGTTCATTTTTATTCTTTTGCATTTATTATTTTTATTTCCCTATCCCCATTAAACCATTACCGTTCTATGTGTTGTAACCCGCCGAGCCAGCCTCTACTGCGAGCGATACAAATCCGTGGTTAAATCCTTCCGGTGCCCGTAGCAAGGTCCTGGCCTTGGGCCCTACTATTAAAAATAGAAGAAATCAGGCAAAAATTGGAATGACCATAGGTGCGAGGTCGATTGACGCTAAATTCATTTCATTCTTTCATTCTTTCCATCCGCGACGCCATCGCCACCTGCCGACGGCTCCGGGTACACGTGGGTTAACGCGCTCCACATCGCGCAGGACTGCGACGACGACGACGACATACCGCCGAGATTGCAAACATGGGGGTCATTTATGCCGCCGCCTGCTTCACCATCGCCGCTAGTACCGCCAGTAACGCCGGGGCTGTGTGGATGGGTGTTTAAAGCCTGGGAAAAAGGCCACCCTGCTTTCCGGCATCGATCCCGGATCCTTTTCTTTTCCAGCCTACAGCTAGACTGGGTATGCAAGGCTGTCTCGCGCCCGAAATACGCCCCAGACATACCCGCTCGCGTCCGTCAAACGAGACAGATTGCATACGTGGTCCCATCAAGCTGCAAGTCCGTGACAGTCTCCTCTGAAAAGTCCGGGCACGCCTTGTGCCTATCCATGGGCGATGGTCCATCTGCCAGAACCTGAAGCGCGCTGCCGTGCGTCGACTTGTTGAGGATCTTGACTGCGTAATACAGTCGAGACTGCCTGAGGCGGTCCAGAACATCTTTGAGGGGCGCCTTGAGAATCGGGGCTCCCATCAGCGGTTGATGGACGGCCCATGTTGCCCCCCAGGCCTCGCTCGGCCCTCGAGTGGAGGTACCTTCTCCATTCAAAGCCGGCAGCCAGGCCGTCAGCTGCATCATCCCGTCTTTGTCGACAAAAAACTCCAGTCTAGGGTCCGCCTTCTGTCGCAGCTCGCGCTCTACAAGACCGCGCTGGCCCCATCTTTCTTCATCCAGTACCGCTTGGAACAGGCAGACCACGTTTTCTACAGTGTAGCCCTTGGGACCCAGGAGCTGGGCGGCGAGAACAGCCGCATTGGGAACGTGGAATGGTGGGCGACACCACGGATCTTGGCACTCCACCACGGCCTCTCGGACGACCTTTACGGCACGTTGGAGGGCCAGGCTGAGACGCCAGCGCAGTTGCTGGAAGTAGGAGATGCAAAAGCGAGGCGGGTCGCTGGGGCTCGGGCTCTCCTGCTGCCCGCCGACGCGCGGCTCTCCTGGGAGAAAGCCCTGGCACCTGGGAGAGAAGTACGTCTCGGTGTTGAGGACTCTCTCGGTGCCGTCAACCCCATACTTGGCGCTGGCCCAGTATTGTTCGTCTAGCGTCACGCTGCATGGGGTATCGAGGGTCGCGTCGCCAACGAGAAACATGCGGCTGCATGCGGCCACAATCTGCCAGTCGCCCCATTCCAGGCAGCCGTTTCTCTTGATGGAGTACATTGATGGCTGCCTCTTTGGATCGACGGGCCGGAGAACGAAAGGCGTGTATGTCCCGTCGCTGTGTATCACCACGAAGATGTGGTCGAGCTGAGGGTCGACGATGGCGGGCAGGTCCTTCCTCATCGAGGTTAAAATAACCCCGACCTTCTCCCCAGCCAGCCCGTACTCGGGTAATTTATTATACTGGCTGCGATGCGTATGGCGCTTGGGATCTCGGTCCAAAAACAAGGGTGAGGATGGCACCGGCATAAGGTGCACCAGCTTCACGTTCAAACCTCCCGTTCTGGAGTCCACCCAGATCTTTTCGTTCCACGGCACGTGCGAGTCTTCGGCAGCAATATCTTTAGCGTTGCATGTCCGCAGCTCGATGATGGTGTGGGAGCCGAGTTGATCCTTGAATGGTTGGGGGAAGAGGTCCAGGAGAGAAGTCAAAATAGATAAATCTCTGCCAGAAGGAATAATTCCAGCATCTTGGTGGATAGCGAGGGTGCTATCCCATTTCGCGTACGCCCTCCTCTCAATTTCAGAGAACAGTCTCGGCCGGGAGTCGACTGGAGCCTGCCAGTCGGGGATCCACGATGGCATACGGCCCCAGCCAGTAATGCCAACAGCGGCGCACAGCGCCTGTGATTTCCCACAAGCCGCGACGACGTGGGCAAAAAAGCCGGTGAAGACGTGTTGGGGGGATAAGCTGTAGTCGGGCGCAAGGGTATAACGCTTGGTTGGTTGACCGTGGCGGTATATTTCCTGTCGCCCGTCTTCCAAAAGGCCCAATATCCCAAAGATGCGGTCGCGGGGGTCGCTGGCGTCGGACTTCCAGGTGAGCCGTATGACGCTCAGCATATCCACCATACTCAACGAGCCCTTGGCGACATGCTGCACCCACTGGGCGGGCGTGGTCTCCCACGTCCCTTGCATGATGCACAGCTCGGCAAAGCCCTCCAGCTGCGACCCGTGGGCGAAGAACTCTACGCCCCCGCTGCGGACAACGACCTGTCCGGGTAGAACGAGCTCCTGAATGATCCACACGCGGCTGAAGTAGCGCCGGTCCAGCCACTCCTTGATCTTGATGGGCGCGAGGGCAGCGCGGTGGGGGTTGCTCCGACCTTCAAGGTGCTCGGGGGAGCACTCGTCCGGGCCCAGATAGACGAGGACGCTGGTGCACTGGGCGTAGATGTCGGACATGCGCGCGACCTGCCTGTTCCTCTCGGCAACGTCCTGCTGGTTGATGCAAAGCGCGTCGACCCAGAGCAGGCGCAGACCCCGACGCGGCCTCATGTGCAGCAGCATATCATGGCAGTTCTGGGTCTGCAGGACGACGTCCCAATACGGGCCAACGTATACCGGGCAGGTCTTGGCATTCTCTCCCTTCTCGCCGCCCCACGCGTAAGAAACGGCCTCGTACCAAGGAGAGTCGTTCAAGGGGTGGACTTGGAGGTCGCAGTGAACCGGCGACACTGGGCCATCTGACGCACCATCCGATGGTGGGTGCAAGCAAAGAAGCCGGAACTGTTCTAGACCAAGGGGTGGGTCGTAGATGGCAGCAGTGGGCACCGGCACCTTGATTTCCACACGAGGCTTTTCCTCTTGAGTGGGTGAACAGCGAGTCTCCATGTATGCCTTGGGACCGCCATTGTCCTGGCGCAACTTTGGCCGCCGGTAAGGGACTGACGGAGGCCACAATAGGTTCATGTCATGCAGGGGCTCGTCAGGAGGCACCGACAGCAGCGGGCTTTCCTTGTTGGCAGCCGCGGCCATCTCGTCCAGCCGTGGGCACGCGCCACATGCTCTACAGTGCGGGACATTGCCCTCGAGATGTATGTTAGGTTCGGAGCAGCCAGCTCTATGCCAGCGAGACATTACGGGAGGAAGTCCAATCGGCCAGTTGGGAAGAAAAACTGGAGGAAGGATGAAATGCGCGTCGTTTCTAATAATGTAATAGGGAGGCCATTCAAATGAAGTCCAGGATGACCCACGTGATTAGAGGCGGGGTTGATGGGTGGCCTCGTGAAGGCAAAACTGACGACGTGCCCTCGCCGGCCCAGAGATATAATCGATGCCCCAGATTTGCGCCAAATCTCCACCCACGATCCTACCACCAGCCGTGCTGGGCTGCCCAGTCGACCGAATTTGACGTGCGACCTCGATCAATTACTCGACCTCCGAGTCGGCGGGGGCCCGCACCCTATCTAGGGGGCGCACGGCGTTTTAGCGGGCGTCTTCCCCCAGTGCCAGCTTCGCGGGCTCCAAGGCAACCTCAATAGGGCGCCGCGCCGGCACCCAAAGCCCTTCAGCAATGGCCGAACTCACGCTCAAAGGGGCAGCTCTCGCGATGGTCCTCGGTGCCATCTTTGGGTATACTCTCTTCCACTTCATAGTTTTTGTCCGGACGTCCCGTAAGGACTTGGACTCCTTACGGCCCACCCCCCCAACAACGAAACCGGAGCCTAAAGTCATTTGGCCGGAAGCGCCTGAGGGTTTCCGGAAACCGTGGGCCGAGGGAGATCCCACCAACACCAGTCGGTACCAGCTCTGTGGCACCTGTCAGCAGATCGACCTCGGCCTGCTGGGTCTTGAATTGCGGTCGATGTCCAGAGATTCGAGTCAGTCTGTGCGTCTGGGCCACAGCCTTGGTGGGGTCAGGTCAGGCAGGGAGTTGTGCGATCTCTGCGATCTCATCTGGCGCTCGCTTTTCGACGACGACCCAATTCACCCGCGCATAAAGGAAAGCGATTTTCCGGATTACATTACAGTGACCCTCAGCCTGGACACCTTTGCGGACATCAGTCTGTCCCACCTGCACAGTAGCCACATGCTCCAAAGGCAAGGCAGTCAGCACACCTTTGTGACCAATATGATTTCTGTCCAAATTCAGTCGCCTTGTGACACTTGTTTCCCTGGGGATGTCCGTTTCCTCAAAAAAGGGAAGATCATGATTTATAGACGATCGGACCAACTGCCAGGTAAGCAACCCCACGGGCGACTAATGTCTTATCATTGACGTCCTTTTCTCTCGGTCCCTCCATATCACACAGCTCAGCTGGAACACGGTGCTTTCTTACAACGAGGACCTGCGCGGCTCCGAACAGCGCAATGATATAGTCGCACTGATTACTTGGAAATGTTCTAGACGCGGACGATCTGTGCCCTGCGCTTCGCGAACAACCTCTGCCGCCCGCAAACTCTGATAAAACCTTTGCCACGATTGATTCCTGGCTTCAAGGATGTCTCAGGGATCATCCGGCTTGCAGGACTACGCGTTTAAACAAGGCGCGCACGTGTGAACCACCGCCCAGATTGATAGAGATACCTGTTGATGCTGGCCATGTCCGTCTCATCGAGGCAACTGACGTCCAAGAGCCCTACGCTGCTCTAAGCTATTGCTGGGGCAACTTCAATTCGCTTTCCGACTCAGAACAGGCAAACCCTCTGACAACCACGTCGACCACCTTCAAGGAGTTCCAGATACAAATACCTTTGGACGCCATCCCCTTAACCATCCAGCAAGCAATTTATATCACCCGCCGGCTCGGCATCAAGTACCTATGGGTCGATTCCATGTGCATTGTTCAAGACGATCCAGTCGACTGGCAAAACCACACCGTCCTGATGGGTTCTATATACGCCAACGCCCTTGTTACCATAGCAGCCACGGGGGCCGCCAATAGCTCAGAGGGCTGCTTTCTATCTAACCCAATAGCCGAAGGAGGTTCGGATTCGCTTTACAAACACGAAGCAAAGCTACCGATTGTCATCTCTGGCCGCTACATAGGCGACATGTTCGCCGCCCCACTTTCGATGCGGCGCAACTTGAATGGCCTGAAAGGTCTGGGGGCTGAACTCGCAGTGAGTTGTTGGGAAAATAGGGCCTGGGTGCTGCAGGAGCGCTTCTTTTCGAGACGGATCGTGCATTTTGGAGCGTCCCAGGTCCATTGGGAGTGCGAGCAGATGGTAGCTAGCCAGATGCGGCCGTTTTCCGAGTTGCGATGGCGCGCGGCCTCGACAAAGAAGCCGGTGCTCAACGTGGAGCGCTGGTGGTGCAGTTTGCTATCGCAGTACACCTCGTCGGAACTTAGCGTGGACGGGGACCGTCTCCCCGCGATTGCGTCTATTGCGAAGGAGATCGCTGAGGCCCACAAGCTTACCTACGTCGCGGGAGTATACGCCGAGATGCTTCCGCGTTGCCTAGTCTGGGCTGCTGCGACTAACTCTCGTCCCGGGGATGACTGGGCGAGACTATGGAATAACTGCCTCAAGATAAAGCCGTTAACCCATCCATATGTATGTCCTAGCGAGCGAGGTAAGATTTGCAACCTTGGGTATTCTCCTTCGATAGTACACCCACAGCTAACCTAGTGATTGGCAAAGTGTCGTCCTGGAGTTGGGCACACTGGGAGGGTTCTATCGCCACCTTGAACATCCACAGCTATGACCCTTTTTTTAGCCTTATGGGTGGCATAAAAGTGGTCGAGCGAGGAGACGAGCACAGCCATCACCAGTCATCTTTGGTACTGTGGTCCCAGATCCGCCGAGTGACCCGCTCGCAGAGACGGATGGAGACGTCCGACCAGTGGCCCACGGCCTCGGTCTGCTACGCCATACTCCGAGATGACCCGGAAGGGAGTGGCGGCACGGAGAGCGAGGGATTTGTTGTCTTTGATGATCCTGAGAACGCCGCCCCGATGGAGTTTGATCTGGTTCCGGTAGGCACCTCGTACGGTACCTCGTACGGTACCTCGGACGGTACCTCGTCCTTGATTTGGTCTAGATTCTGGAGCGTCGACATATCGCTAGCCGTCAAACGTGTGGGGAATGAGGCCGCGGATATGAAGGAGGCCCGGGCGCTGGGCGTGGAAGGAGGAGCTGCGCTGCTACCGGACCGGTACCGCCGGCTGGGACTCGTAGTGCGATTTTGGGGGTGTGCTTTCCATAAGCTTGGACCATTCACCTGGGAACCGCTGGCCTGCAATGCGACAATATCCTTTGTTAGGCTATCAGAACCATTTGCGAACGGTCTGATGGCTTGGGTGAGTTCTTTTTTCTTCTTCTATTTTATCTTTTCAAAAACCCAGCCTTCAACCACCACAAGCATCCGAGACTCTGGCGAGGCCGTCACACCCATGGTTGCTCGCCAACTGGGCGATGAGCTCCCGAATAGTAAGGGGAACATCGTCTAATAGTTGACTTGGCTAACTCGGGTTTCTCCTCTTAGTTCCCTTTTGGTTACTTCAAGAGGTTTCACTCATACCGACAGATTTGTTTGATATAAGCCGGAGCCTTCCCTGTCGGGCTACCCACGAGGCCCAGGAGATATCTAGCTCGCGAAGAAGGCGCGAGAGTAAGAAAAGAGCCGGAGAAATAAGGGGAGGGACAAAAGGAAGAGAAATGGTCACGGGCACAAAGTCGGCCGATACGTATCGAACAATGATGCTGTATACTACCCCTGAGAAACACACTGCATGAAGAAACCGTGGAATAGTCTTGTGTGTCGCCCGGAAAAGGTAGCCTCTATAGAGCTATCCACAAAACAGAATGCCTACAAAAAGACACATGTTGATAAGGGGGAAGCCCAGTTGAAAAACACAATCCCGCAGCCCATCATCCCTAGGCCGAGCACGCGCCTCCAGCCTCCTGGCGAGCCGGACGACGGGCGCATCCACGGCGCGCCAAAACACGTCGGCGGCCCAGACGACGATGGGCACGATGAAAGCGACGCCCAGCGCGAAGCCGGCGACATACCCGCGGTCGGTGATCATCTGGCCGCCGGCCGTGGTGATGGCAAAGGTGCGCATCTCGATCAGGTAGCCGGCCGTGTGCAGCACGGGGCCGTGCACCAGGTAGAGGGCGTAGCTGACGCGGCCGAGGTACCGCGCCGGCGCCAGGTTGAAGAGCGCCTGCCAGCCGGGGAGGCGCGCCACCGCCGCCACGAAGAGCACGGCCCCGACCGACTGCCAGTGCCGGTACCCGTCGTCCGCCCAGCAGTCCGGCACCAGGCCCGATAGGAACACCCACCCGGGCGTCTCGTCGGCGCCAAAGTCGGGCTGCGACATGAGGTAGAGCGCCGCGAAGCTGACGAGCCGCCACCACCAGAGCGACGCGCACGTCCGCCTGCGCCGCTGGCGGTGTGGGTCGCCGCCCGGCCGGTCGCCCGCGGGCTGGGCCGGGATCGCGGTCGTGGCGGGGTCCGTCTCGGCGTCGCGGACGAGGTCGAGCTCGGCGAGGACGGCGCCGCAGTAGAAGAGGAACATGTCCCAGCGGCCAGAGCGGTAGCAGAACAGCACAAGAATCGCGAGCACCAGCAGGCGGATCTAGCTGTGAAGCCGGCCGACGCCGACGAGCGTCGCGAAAAGGGCCATGGAGCAGCGGAACTCGACGGGGATGGTCCAGAGGTGGACGTCGTATGCGGTGCTGCCGCCGAACGGCTCCCAGTCCCAGACGTGGACGAACTCGAACATGGCCCGCGCCCAGTCTTGCAGCTGCAGGGCCAGCGAGCCCAGCCGCTCCGGGTGCATCTCCTGCACGTTGCGCATGAAGCGCTCGTCGTGGGCGAAGTCGCGCGTCCACTCGTAGACGCCCATCCGCAGCAGCACCACTACAATCAGGGTCGAGGCGGCCGTGGGCAGGAACAGGCGGAAGAAACGGCGGAAGATGAAGGACAACAGCGTGGCCGAGAACTCCTCCGACGGTGATGGCGTTGATGACTGGAGGGACGGCGTCGAAGGCGGCCGCCGCGGCGCGCGCGAGCCTGAGCGGTTTGATGGAGAGCGCGTAGCCCGACACCACAAAGAAGACGGCGACCATGGGCGGGCCCTGGTACCACAGCCTGAGCACGGGGAGCGTGAGGGCGCCGTCGTTGCCACCGTAGCCCCAGCCCTCGGCGATGCGGAAGCACGTGTAGAAGTAGTGGCAGAGGAAGACGACAAAGGCCGCGACGCCGCGCATGCCGTCGAGGTACGACGTCGGACCGAGCCGGTCCATCCTGGTCCGCGAGTGCCGAAAGTCCCTGCCCGAGACGGCAGCGGCGGCGGTGAGGCCATGGTTATGGCGCAGGAAGCTCGGCACGAGAAAGAAGACGGCCCTGACGGCGGCGGTGCGCCAGGGCGGCGCGCGGATGAGCTTGTTGCAGGCACAGACCCCAGCGGCCGCGAGCTACGACCGAGCCCGGGAGGCGCGCGGGAATCTGGTCTCGATCTCGGCCCTACCCGCGCCGCTCTCGATGTCGGACAGGGTCTTGTCGTCTTGTAACAGCGATGCCTTCTCTTCGTCTCGAGTCATCCTTCGGGCCGTGCTCGTTGTTGAGCTACAGCCACTCATCTTCGGGAAGAGGATACTTCTTGTCAAGTTAGGTTGTTATCGCCACATGAGGTCACCAACAAAGGCTACCGGGGGCGCTCCTCAAGGCGTGTGCCAACGGCGACACCAGCGCCGGATCAAAGGAAGGAGGCAGTATGGATACGAAGAAAGAGTATCACTATTGGCGACAAGCTGGACTGGTTCCGAGCGTGTGGTATGGTAAGTGGTGTGTTGATGGATGAGAAACGAAGAGCCGGTACTCAACAGGAGCATTAGCAAACAGCAGATCTAGGGACAGGCCGTCGAGAATAACTTGTAACATGGCCGGGCATGGCCATGATTCCGCTCTAGCCGCCATCCCAGAGCATGCAAAGATGCAGCGAGGAGCCGGAGTGAGTAGCGTCTCGGCTTCTAGCGAGGCGCCCTGGTGGGAGCCAAGGACAGACTGAGTGACGACCCATCTGCGTGGCGGGCACCCGTTTCAAGAGGCTCGGGCTACCTGGAAGATACGACGGATAGCCCGGGGTATGCTGCGTTCAGCATCTCAAACTACGGTACGGCATGACTGGGTGCGGCGCCGGCGCATAGAGAAGCCCCGCAAAGCAGAGAGCTGGCTGGTTCGTGCTGATTGCTGTTGCAGACGATTGATCCAAGGGCCCTGCTCGTCCTAGTGCTGTACGACTGGTCAGATGTCGGGTCTTCGGTCGAGCTGAAAGGAGTTGTGTTGGACATCGCACAGTGCGTCGCGCCTTGGATTCATTCGAAGGAAAAAAGACGCCATTGTACCTACGAGACCTCATACTGTGCTCGAAATACTGCCTTTGTATATCAGTTAGCCCATCTCGGCGGGCGGGCGTAGAAACACACACTCATATTCTCAAGCAATAGGCACATCCATGTTGATGACCAGCTCCTCGAGCCCCTTAGCCAGTACCTCCTCGCCGCCAGCAGCCTCAATCTCGAGCTCGATCTCGGGCTGGAACTCCCGGTAGAGAGCATTCGTCTCGCTCGCCATCTTGAAGGCGTGCGCCGCCTCCTCGTCGCTGATGATGTGCTTCTTGAGCTCGCTGTTGCCCGCGAGCGCCGCCTCGACCTGCAGCTGGATCGCGCAAGACCGCTCCAGCAGCCCAAACATGTAGGCAGCTTCGTCCACCGTCGAGCCGACCGTGAGGAGGCCGCTGGGCAGGTGCGACAAATCTCGCAGGTCAGTCACGTCCATAATATCAACGTAGACAAGGGCGAATGCATCTGCTGAGGCTGCATCTGCCGGGGCTGCATCTCACTGGTTCATCAGGATCAAGGCCTTGTTAGTCTCCCCCAGGGCCTCGGCGATGTTGTTGGCTTCGTCGGCGGCGAAAACGATGCCGCCGTACTTCTTGTAAACGGCGTGGGCGCCGTAAAAGTTGCACACGTCCTGCGTGAGCATGTCGAGCGGCCGGGCGAAGACGGACCAGGCCCGGCCGCCGGCGGTGTGGCAGTGGCAGACGGCGTGGATGTCTGGCCGGCGCCTGTGCACGGCTGAGTGGATGTAGTAGCCCGCCGCGTTGGATGTGACCCTGCCCGTGGTCGGGTTCGGGCGCCCGGCCACGATGGCGCCCGTGGCAACGTCGATGGCCACCATGTCGCCCGCCCGGAGCATGCCGTAATGCCGCCCCATGGCGTTCATCCACATGACGCCCGGGAACTCCGGGTCCCGCACCGATATGTGCCCGGCCTGCCCCTCGGAGTAGCTGTTGCGCGACCAGTTTCGGAACGTGGCCGCCATGTGAACCAGGATGTGCCGCCTCTCGGCCGCGAAGGACGGAAAGGTGGGGATATCTAGAAGGTCTGTGAGCACAAAGGTTTTTGTTGTGTTTGGGCCGTCCGACTTATTCTTACCCGGCATCACCTCGCCCTGCGATATCGCCCTCAAAGCAGTCATTATTTCTTCCTTGGCCTTGCCGGCCGACTTGGCAGCCGAGACGACAGTCGACTGGGCCTCGTTTACCGCTGAAGGAGCCATGATTGTTCAGGCTCTAAGCGCAGTGAGTTGGCAGCAATGTTTCTTTCCGCGAGGGAGATTGCGAGCAGTCCGAGTTCAGGTACTGTGTATATACACCCAAGCTCCTAGTGGATGGGAGTCTGTAATTGATAGGGCGCGCTCATCTGACGACACCCCACCGAGCGGGTACAAGTCCGATATGCGGGGTGAGCAGCGGTGCCGACAGCAAAGTTCCAGCCTCCAGTCTGTAAAGTCACCACATGGCTGGAAGTGGCTGGCTGACTGGTGGGTCGGCTTCCCGAAAGGGGATCCTACCTGACGACATCCAAAACCTGCAAGGCTGTGGCATCTCTCGATACTTTCCAACGGGAAGGTGTGTTGGAGCTCCCCGGCAGTGCTGATTTTCACAGGAATATTGCATGTAATTGGCCGAACCAGCCCGGTGGCTGCTCTCGCTGTAAGACCAGCCGCTGCAAGTGCAACGGAAACTTGACCATCCTCAAAACCAACACTAAGATTCATCGCTCCTTCCACATCGCTGCATGGTGGATCTGATACTCCCGGGCGGGCTTTCTACGGGCGTGGCAACGCTATTCTGCTGGATTTAGAGATTTGAGCTCTTCCAAGAGTGAAGCTCTCTGCCTTTCTATAGATATAACCACGAGTATTTTCTGCGTCTGTTCTGTACCAAAATATTTACCCAAAGCATAATCTCTCGATATTCTTACTTCATCGTGTGTCCATTCTCATCAGCAGCGCGAGCCCGACTTTCGCTGTCTCTAGCCTGATGCCGGGCCGATAACATGATGAGTCCAACATGAACCTGCCGCTCTAGATGCCTGAATACCAAGGAACTCTCGTCAGAGTGTCTCTTCACCTTCCTTCGTTATTGATCCCCGCGCCGCCGACATCCACTCGCTGGCAAACGTCCTCATTTCTTCTCCCGACCGGTCGGCACCCCCACCTCGGCAGGCAACCACCCACCACTCTTTTTCTTGCTCCTCCGCAACTCTGCACCCTCGCCAACGACAACGAACTATCACCCGCTATCCATCAGCCCCTCCATCACCCATCATCTCCCGCCACCCCAAAAAAGGCCGTACTATCATTGCCTGGCGTTCACGAAAGGCATGGCCAAGGACGGCACTAGATCGCGGGAAGTGGGCGGCTCTGGAGATATAGAGATGGCCGAGGACGGCGGGAGGGCGAGAGCTGGTGCTGCCACGGGATCCGGAAAGCGCAAGCGACTGAGAGGCCAACACCCAGCATCTCGCAGCTCCGGCGGTGGTTCAAGTGCTAAGCGCGGCAAGAATGCCCAAGAAACACCTAACAGCTCGACCGGCACCGCCTCTTCAGCTTCATCGAAACCGGCAGAGGAGCAGCGGCTTGACGAGGACGCACCGGAGCAGGGCCCCGAGCCTGGCCCGCTGAACCACGTCATGTCGGTGCTGATGCAGGGGATCCGCATAGGCGAGAAGAAGCTCGAGGTTTCGAAAGCGCAAACGAGAGCCGCCATCACTAGAATCCCGCCGAGAGTCGGAGGGTCGGGTCTTACAAACGTCGGCGCCGTCCAACAGGCCAGGCCGGTGTGGTACAGCCCTTTCACTGAGACCGAGAATCCAAACACCTTCTTCCCACCCTTCGACCCCCTCTGGGTCGTGGAATTTGAGTCTCAGTACAACAAAGAAGCGGAGGATGGCGAGGTAATTTCCTGGGAGGACACCGACCTGACTACTCGTCACCAGAAGCGCCAGGCAGGGAAGCTCAGAGCGTAAGTCGAAACTTGGCATTAGCTAATCCATCCCGAGACTTGAAGAAGGTGATCTTGACAGGTGAATCAACAGACAATGGGCGGCCAAGAGGCTGGCGGCCGCCACAGACTGCATAAACTTGATGGCCTTCCAGGTGCCCCAACTACCCGCAGAGCTGAATACTAGCCCAGGGGGCAGGAAGCTTGATCTCCTTGATCGTTTACGCTTCTGGGCCGCGAAGGCGGGAGTGCTTCGTCGGGCAAACTGCAAGCGCTTGAGATTCGAGGTGATCAACAACAAGGCCCCGTTCCCTTCAATAGAGGCCGACTTGAAGAAGGAGCCGGGGGGATTCAGCCGCTGGTCCAACGATCTTCTCTCGCCAGGGTCCCCTCCCAAGGAACGACCGACAACGTCAAAGTCGTGGCGCGGACAGTCAACCACGCTGTTTGGGACCCCAAATAAGGTGCTGAAAGATCTGACAGCCACTGATTCGGGTGTCCTCAGAGTCTATCATGGCACCATGTAAGTCCTCAACATGAATACGCCGTGCAGTCGTGTGCCGCCTGGCAACCACGAACTGCGGGTATAAACAATACTAACACTACCCCTGGGGACACCAAAAGACCAGACATGAAAAACCGACCGCACCCATGGATCTGGTTTGAGATACGGCGGCCCGTGGTCGAAGACCGACCGAGTTTGGCGGAAATGCCACCAACTATGCACCCGATGCCGGGCGGCATGCTAGTGTTCGCACTACCACAGAGTAACCAGAAGGCTTTGAGCCAACCTGGCAGGCTGCACTTGACCCTCAGCCGGGGCGGCATACCGGCATTCGAGTTCACACACTCGGAAGGCATCCGAGACAAAGTGGCTGGGCTGCCCCCAAACTTCCTCTGTGTCAACAAGTACGATCAGAGTGAATTGAGAAACAGCCAGCAAGATGCGATGGACATCTACAACGACAACGAGGCCAAGACCGAAGGTAACGACCCGGAAGACGACGGAGTCTGGGACGCCTGGTACCGATGGCTGTGTCGGGAATGCAACAAGGACCAGCAGGCCTGGAATTCCATCTTCACCTACATGTCCGAGACCCGCATCGAGCTCATCGTCGAGACGATGGACAACGAGCCCTGGATGGTTTTTGAGGGCGGCGAGTGGAAGGAGAAGAGTGTCCCCGCTGCTCGCTCCTCGACTGGAATAGGGCCCCCGCCGAGACCCCTGACCGTTAGCAACTCACGGCCGCAGAGGAGCTCCAGCCTCCGGAACGAGATCAAGCCAGAAGACGACCAGGGAAAGTAATCGGCCGGCACCTCATTCGGCCGCTGTTGGTGGGTCGTTCGCGTCTTGTACAAGAGGAGTCTGTTGCATCTCAAGACAAAGGGGGTGTTGGTGTGGACATGATCAGCGCTGTGTAAGTTTGGGGAGGACAAGGGCGAAGACCTTGATACCACCATCTGTTTTTAGCGGGAATAGCAAGGAAAGCGAATGTGTAATGAAATACCAGAGAGAATCGGGCGAGTTTTGGAAGGGAAAGTGAGCATCGTCAGGGGTTGAGCAAATCAGAATGTTCTGCTGTGTGTTGTGACTGACTAGGGGTCCGTGCGGGATCCGGAGAATCCATCATCCCCACCCCCACCTTCGATAACAAAAGTCCCAGCCCGATACGGGATGCCTGGCCCGCATTGGCGGCGTGCAGCAAGATCTTTTGACGAGAGCTCCATGGAGTCCCGCCGCCACCGCAGGGGATCAAGAGCTCTTCAAGACGAGCCTCTTTGTTTTTTTTCTCGTGACCCAACCTTCCCCCCACTCGAAGCCAGCACGCGTCCTTCCTCTCAAAGCCTTTTAGCAGGCTCTTTGTGCTGCATAGACCTCGCCCGCATCGACCATCCACTTCTTGGGACCCCCACCTCCCCGTCACCAAGATGCAGGCCCCGGTGGTGGTTATGAGTACGTCCAGTGCTGCCTGATACTCCAGAACGACACTCGCCTTGTGCAAGTAAGGTGCGCCGTCGCTAACCAGAAGCTCCCGCCAGACACCCAGAGTGGTGAGAGGCAAACCGGAAGGAAAGCCCAGCTATCAAATATCGCGGCCGCGAAGACGTGAGCTCCGCCTGTTCCCAGAAACGCCTCTTCTTTCGAAACCGCTTGTGGTGCTGACCTGATCTGCCCTCCCCGCTTCCAGCGTCGCCGACATCATTCGGTCATGTCTCGGTCCCAAGGCCATGCTCAAGATGCTCCTCGACCCCATGGGGGGCATCGTTCTGACCAACGACGGCCATGCCATTCTGCGAGAGATCGAGGTGTCGCACCCTGCCGCCAAGAGCATGATCGAGCTGAGCCGGACACAGGATGAGGAGGTCGGAGATGGCACCACCACTGTCATCATATTGGGTGAGTTCGTCCCTGGCTGGAGACGCCTCCTGCTGGCACATGCCCTAACACGCTGCGTCCGACATAGCTGGTGAAATCCTGGCTCAGGCCCTGCCGCAGCTCGAACGCAACATCCACCCCGTCGTCATCATCGCGGCCTTCAAGCGTGCCCTCAAAGACGCGCTCGAGATCATCGAAGAGATCTCGCTCCCGATCGACATCAGCGACGACAAGGCCATGCACAGCCTCATCCAGTCCTCGATCGGCACCAAGTTCGTCTCGCGCTGGTCCGAACTCATGTGCGGCCTCGCCCTCAATGCCGTGCGCACCGTCACCTGGGAGGTGGGCAACGGCAAGCAAGAGGTCGACATCAAGCGGTACGCGCGCGTCGAGAAGGTCCCCGGTGGAGAGATCGAGGACAGCCGCGTCCTGGACGGCGTCATGCTCAACAAGGACATCACACACCCCAAGATGCGCCGCCGCATCGAGAACCCCCGCATCGTCCTGCTCGACTGCCCGCTCGAGTACAAGAAGGGCGAGTCCCAGACCAACATCGAGATCACCAAGGAGGAGGACTGGAACCGCATCCTGCAGATTGAGGAGGAGCAGGTCAAGGCCATGGCAGAAGCCATCATTGCCGTGAAGCCGGACCTGGTTATTACTGAGAAGGGTGTTTCTGGTAGGGCCCCCTAATTTTCTTCTGTGTGGTCAACTGGCGGCGTATACTCACCACACAGAATCGTAGACCTGGCACAGCACTACTTCATGAAGGCCAACATAACGGCACTGCGGCGCGTGCGGAAGACGGACAACAACCGCATAGCACGCGCGACTGGAGCCACCATCGTCAACCGAGTCGAGGACCTGCAAGACTCGGACGTGGGCACGCAGTGCGGACTGTTCGAGATCGAGAAGATCGGCGACGAGTACTTCACGTTCCTGACAAAATGCACCTCGCCCAAGGCCTGCACGGTGCTGCTCCGCGGCCCATCCAAGGACGTGCTCAACGAGGTCGAGCGCAACCTGCAGGACGCCATGGGTGTGGCCCGCAACGTCATGTTCCACCCGCGCCTGTCCCCCGGCGGCGGCGCCACCGAGATGGCCGTCGCCGTGCGCCTGGGCCAGCTCGCCAAGAGCATCGAGGGCGTCCAGCAGTGGCCGTACCGCGCCGTCGCCGAGGCCCTCGAGGTCATCCCCCGCACCCTAGTCCAGAACGCTGGCGCGAGCCCCGTCAGGGTCCTGACGGACTTGCGCGCCAAGCACGCCGAGGGCAAGAGCTCGTGGGGCATCAACGGCGACACCGGTGCCCTGGCCGACATGAAGGACTATGGCGTGTGGGAGCCCGAGGCCATCAAGGTGCAGAGCATGAAGACGGCGATCGAGGTCAGTTTTGCCCCCTTTTTTTTCGCCCAAATCCATCTTTTCTCTGCTCAGACCGTCGCAGCGGGCGACGAGGCCGAGTATATTACGGGTACTACGGTGGGTATATATTCTAACACATTGTATTCCTACAGGCCGCCTGTCTTCTCCTCAGGGTCGACGATATTTGCAGCGCAAAGAAGGCGCAGCCAGGCGTCGGCACCGGCGGAGGCGGAGGCGATGAATAGACACGAGGATCCCTAATGCGCTAGACCACCTACCAAAATCCTTGTCGTGGGGGTGTATCTGGGTAGCTTTTTGCCCCATGTCGACGTCCGGATTCCCTGTCGTTGGTTTTCTCGATGGTGGTACCGCGGAGATGGATGAGGGCGACGAGAGGATGATGAATACCCCCTTCTTTCGTTGCCGGTCCGTGTAAAACCCTTGCAAAATCCGTTCTGGGAGTTTTGGTAGACAAAAAGAAGTAAAACCAGAGACAAAGAAGTCGTCGAGGGATCGGATGCGAGCGTCGTCGCCATCGTCGGCTAGGTTGATCGTATTTTCCGTCGTTCGTATCTAGGAACGGAGCGCGTCTGTCGATCGGTCGGTGCCATGGGCTCTCAATCCTCTTCGTGAATCACGAGGCCGGCCTCGGCCTGTGCAGCAGTAATAACGGGGGCCGACGAGTCCTTATCAGCATCGGTGTCTCCTCCGCTCCCTGCTGCCGCCGCTGCTGATTTCGCGTCCGCACCGGCGGCGGAGCCCGCGCCAGGGGCGACGGCGTCGGGCTTGGGCTTGTTCTGCTGTGTCATGCGGGCCCTCTTCTTCTTCTTCTCACGCTTCTCCCTGTTCCTGCGCGTCTTCTCCTCGTCCCGCAGCTCGTTCTCGGACCGCCTGCGCTCGAACTCCTGGCGGGCCTGCTCCTTGCGCAGGTCCTCGTCCATGAGGCGCAGGCGCTCGAGCTCGCGGCGGCGGCTGGCCTTGTACACGTGGAACTCGCCCGAGCCGGCGCCGGCGCTGGAGCCCTGGACGTTTGTGACGATCTCGGGCGGCGCGGCGTGACGGCGGCGGGCGGCGTCGGCGTCGCCGCCGGCGGGGACCCGGATGACCTGTTCGGGCTTGGCGAAGAGCGCCTCGACCGACGCGGCCTGCTCCGACACGGGCGTCAGGGCGCGCTTCTTGGTCGGCCGCTTGGAGCGCGGGTCCGCCGACGTCGGGATGCTTTCGGGGCCTTCGCCAGACATTTTTCTTGTTGGTAGGTCAAGGTGGCTGATTCGCTTGGGTAATGATTATCCAACCCCCGGGGCCTCTATCTCGCCATTCCTTGGCTTTACCCGGGCCGGTGACCGAAGGAGGCGGGTGGGTGGGCGACGGTGCTAAACGGGGGGTGGTGCGATTTAGTTTTTTGGCAGATTGTCCTTTCTTTTTTTGGGGGGAGGGGGGCAGGTGGCAGCGGGATGCGGTTCCGCGCGTGTTGCTTGCAGGAGATGGGGAAAGGCTGGGCCAATTTGAGCCAACGCGGTCGCCGGGGGTCTGGATGCGATGCACGCGTTGCGTAGCAGGAGAAAGTCGTTCGTCGACTGCGGTGGGTACCGAAAAAAAAAGTTTGGGCCATGTGTGGGCCAATGTGTGGCGCCTCCAGCATGCCGGAAAGCGCCGAACCAGAGCAGGTCGAACGTCGGTCACGAGGCGCCCTGCCAGGGGTCCCAAGGCTGAAGCGGGTGGCAACTTGTGCTGAGCGCTCCAATGGCGTCGCCGGCGTTCCTGCTGATGTGATGGCCTGAGAATAGATCAGAGACGCGACGATGGATTGCGATTGGTTATGGGACCTTGGCAGCCAGGCTTGTCCGCTTGGCTTGCTGCCTGCGCTGCCTGGAGGTGGCAGCTCGAGTGCCGAGGATCGGAACAAACACAACTAGACCTCCAAGGCGGGGGGGCCTGTTCTGGCAACTGCGCTTGGGGCCCCAGGGGGTGCCAGCAGGGATGTGATACATACATCGGAAAGTGCCAGAGAAGGGGCAAAAAGGGGCCAGATTTGTCGACAAAACCCATCCCATGCCAAAAAAAAAATATCGAACGAGGCAAGGAATCCGTCGTCGGCCTACCGTCCATATTTTCCCACATATTTTTCCGCCTATTTCCAACGCCGCCGCTACGCAGTAGATAGCGACATTTTCCCCTCCACTCGCAAATCCCGCACGCAGTGCCTGCATCGTCGTACGGTTTCTACTTGTGATAAGCGCATCGCTGGCGCCAGGATCCTGCCGCCGTCGCCCGTCTCGACACTGGGGCTGTTGAGACTGCAGACCAAGACTTTTCGTTGGGCTGGGGCGGGAAGCATCGCATCACGCCGTTGGCGCTGCAGCTGTGCTTGGGCTTAGTCGAAGCCGCATATTGGGGTTACACGGCCCGCCGCTGCCATTCTTCGCCGCCAAGGGAACTGAAGCCAGACTCCATCCCAGCGAGACGCACCAACCACAGCAAACTTTAGCAAATAGGGTTGACCACCACCCAACGAACGACGTGCGAGAGCGCATCTGCATCCCCAGTGAGGGGAAACCGGGCAGCCACCAGCCTGAACATTAGCCAGCATTCTATATCTACCCGACGCCTTCTCCCCGCCTCCGCCACTGCGGATCCAGGTATGACCCCATGCAGCTCTGCCCTGCGCAGCCTCTTGCACACTATCACCAACAACCTCATACCCACCCCCACCGTCACATCACACGGCAGCTTCCGCCCGGCCGAGTGCAAGTGGCTAAGTCGGCAGTATAAATTCCTAGAGCAACCTCAGATAGCCCCTCTCGAAACCACCCCCGGCCTAACTCAAGCCGACAGCCACCAACCCTATCGACGCCGCCCACGAACGACACCAACTAAGCAGTCATGGCAAAACCAAGACTCATTATCCTGATCCGCCACGCCCAGTCCGAGGGCAACAAGAAGCGCGAGATCCACCAAACCATCCCAGACCACCGTGTCAAGCTGACCCAGGATGGCTGGCAGCAGGCCTATGACGCCGGACGGCGCCTGCGGTCCATGCTGCGGGCCGACGATACCCTGCACTTCTTCACCTCGCCCTACCGCCGCACGCGCGAGACCACTGAGGGCATCCTGGCCACCCTGACGGCCGACGAGCCCGAGCCGTCGGCCTTCAAGCGTAACAACATCAAGGTTTACGAGGAGCCGCGCCTGCGCGAGCAGGACTTTGGAAACTTCCAGCCCTGCAGCGCCGAGATGGAGCGCATGTGGCAGGAGCGCGCCGACTACGGCCACTTCTTCTACCGCATCCCCAACGGCGAGAGCGCCGCCGACGCCTACGACCGCGTCTCGGGTTTCAACGAGTCGCTGTGGCGCCAGTTCGGCGACGACGACTTCGCCAGCGTCTGCGTCCTCGTTACCCACGGCCTCATGTCCCGCGTCTTCCTCATGAAGTGGTATCACTTCAGCGTCGAGTACTTTGAGGACCTGCGCAACGTCAACCACTGCGAGTTCCTGATCATGCGCCGCCGCGAGGACAGTGGCAAGTACTTACTCGAGAACAAGCTCCGCACCTGGTCCGAACTACGCCGCGATAGGGAGCTAGCGCAGAAGGAGAAGGAAAGGGAGAAGGAGAGAGACAAGGAGCGCGACGCCAAGGACTCGTCGGCTCTGGCCAGGCTCGCCAACAACGGCGCTAATAGCAGCACCAGCAGCCTCATCGCCAGGTCGGAGCACGCCACCACTGCCGCCACCACTGCCGCCACCGCCGCCGCTACGTCATCCCCAAGCATCCCTGCCCGGAAATGGGGTGGCTGCCCCAACGGCTGCACCCACGACAAGGGCTTCAAGATCCGCTCAGGCTTTGCCGACCTCGTCCGCCGCGACGGGACCGCCATCTACTCCAACCCGTCCCCTGTTAACAGCAGCCGGCCTGTCGATGAGCCCAAGCGGTCTCAGCAGGAGCTGGCCTCCAGCTCGGATCTCGATTCGGCCCAGGGCAACCCGTCCCCTGCCGTCGGCAGCATCAAGAACAACGCGCTACAAATCTCGTCTTCGTCCTCCTCTATCGCCTCGTCCCTCGCCAGCCGTCGGCCCAACGCCCGCCGATTTCAGTCGGATGTCGGCGGGAGCAGCGGCAGCTCGTCGCTGCTGGCACCATCCATCGACGTGACTCGTGCACGGGATGAGGTGGTCAGCTCGCCCGACGGCACACCGTCCTTCATCTCAGTGGACGTGCGCCTCCGCTCGCAAATTGAGTCGCCAAACAACAACAAGCCGCCTCCGCGGCTCCTGCACGTCGGGCGCGACTTTGGTGGCACCTACAGCGGCCACACGAGCGACGCCGACTCGTCCGAGGACGAGTCCACGCGCGAACGCATAGCTCGTCTTAGTGCAGCGCCAGCCTCGTCGACAGACGATATCAATGAGCAGGGCACAAGCGCGGTCACGGACGGGGCCTCAGGAGATGTTACCGCCGCCACCACCCCGGCCGAGGGCAGCGTGGTGGGAGATTGTGGAACCGCCAAGGAAGCCGCCAGCGCCAGCCACCGACGCGATATCAGCGGAATGGGTCGCGGCGCTTATGCGAACCGCCTCGGCGACGCGCCGCATTGCGATCATCACGACCATGACCACGACCACAGCGAAGCCGAGCACGGTGACCATGAGCTCTCTGACAATGAGCGTATCGACCACCAGCGTTGTCACAAGCACGACACACCGGCACAGCCACAGGTCAAGGTAAGCGGCGTGGATGATCGCGACGCTACCCAAGAAGACCTAGACGAAGCCGAGCGTGAGGACAAGAGCCTCCGCGGGAGCGTCTACTAAGCACATTCTTGAGATGGGGTGTTGAACGCCCTGGATCTACCTGCTTCGCGCATAGCACTGCGAGGCGCTATGCTTGGACGCCTTTCCTTATGCCTTTGTTTTCTGTTACCGGCGCCTACGAGGAGCGAACCCTATGTCTTATTACGCATGGCATGGGATGTTACATGGCCAAGATGAACGAGATGCCCTCTTTTCCCTTTTCCTTTGATCGCTGACGTCACCATCCGACTTGAAAGACTTCCCTGGAAGGTCTTTCGAGTGATTTCTCTTGTCTGTTCTTGGTTTGGTTTTGGCTCCACCCCTCAGTTTGTCAAAGGTGGTTTCATAATGGAGGATATACCGTTGCTGCAGCGTCAATTCCCGGGTTCCCTTATTTACATAGTCTAACTGTACCTACCTCGCTAATCGTGTGCGGCAGCTAGATTCCCGTCTGTAAAAACATGAGGCTAACGATGCAGTCGCCTCCTTTGTCTTCCATGGAGCTTTGGGTACGTAGATGTGGTTGGGTGTTTAGTTTAGAACGTACATATACGACAATGTTCACGGAATCTTGAGTAAGCGCGCGGTCATATGGAAGAGTTTGGATGGCCTGCTGTGCCGTTTGGCGCGTGGCACAACCGCTCCGTTCCTTTCGCGGGACTACCCGTGGTCCACAAGGGGGGCGGCCGGCACGGCATTGCCCGGCGCCCCAAAATGACACACCCACACATGATCCTTGTCACGGACCAAAACAAACACATGTGATATTGGGCCGCCCAGAGGCGCGGTCTGGAACGGCCGGGCAAGCATCATGCTTTTGTGTAAGCTTCGTACTGGCGTAACGCTCTTTGGGATGGCGCGAACATGTTCGATCCGTTCCACGATGAAAAGAAAAAGAAAAACATGTGGAAATGGAGAGCTTATAATCAAGCCGTTTAGAAGTAGAAGCTTAGGTTCCAGTTCCGTCGCTGATGTATGCACGAACCATGGCTTGGGGGGGTCTAGACAAGTCAGTCCCGGCCGAGACCCTCTTGTCCAGGTAACGGCGACCCTGGGCCTCATCAGGTGCTGATGAGACGGCCCATTTGGCTTGTTTCGATCCCACGTGCCGCCGACGTCCGGCCTAGACCAGGTACCTGAACTCCTTGCGCAGCCTCTCGATGCGCACGTCCTCGGCGGTCGCGGCCGTCTTCTCGGCCACGTCGGCGCGCGTCTCCCAGGCGGCCTGGCCCTCGGCCAGGCGCCCGTTGGCGCGCACCAGGATGAGGCGGAAGGCGAGGCAGCCCAGGACGGTGATGCCGAACATGGCCAGGACGACGGCGTAGCTGCCCCGGAAGCCGTCGGCCGGCAGGTTCCAGACGTAGGACCCGGCGATGTTGCCGAGCTGCGAGAAGGCGTTGACGAGCGCCAGGGCCACGGCGCGCTTGGCGGGTGGGCGGGGGAAGGAGGAGGCTGTGGGGAGGTGGTGGAGGTGGTCAGGCCAGGGGGCCGCACGAGCTTTTGGGAGTGGTGGGAGGGCGCGAGGCTTACAGATCCATGAATAAAACACGATGAATCCGGCATACGAGGAGGCCTGGAGGAAAAGTGCGACGTAGCGGGCGGCCACGTTCAGAGTCGACATGGAAATGACGAAGCCGATGATGCCAAAGAATATGGGGCCCACAATGTGCCAAAACTATGATGAGAGAGGGTGGGTGTTGAATTTGGTACGTGATCAGCAGAAGAAGCGAAAAATAGAGGATTATTGAGAAGATAAACGCGACCGAGACTACTCCATACCTTTTCCTGCGTACGGTCAGAGTGCCATGCGTTAAAGAGCGAGACTATGCAGGAGAACGCCCAAGGCGGAGACGAGAGAAGCAGCGTTGGGACATAGCCGAAACCGACTGCAAAGCTTGAAGTTAGGATCAAAACAGCCTCTGGGATCAAAGCAAGGAAAGTGAGCACGTACGGGTCCCGGTCAGGGTCGGGAAGTAGGCGTTGAAGCTCAGGCCGATGACGTAGGCCGTGAGCACCAGGCAGAGCAGGTAGACCTTGAAGTCCTTGAGGGTCATGATGAGGCCGTCGAAGACGCCCTGTTCGGACGAGTCCAGGTCCGCCTCGCCCACGTCCTCGGTCATGCGCAGCTGCGCCACGTAGAGCTCTTCTTCGGTGAAGCCCTTAGTGTTGTGCGGGAGGTCCGGGAGGATAAAGGCCGAGGAGATGCTTGCCGTTTGCCGGTCAGCGGTGATTAGGAAAAGAGAGAGAGGAGGACTTACGCGATGCCCATGGTCACTGCTCCTTCAACTGTGTTGCCGTTTAATCGGGTTAATACGGATGCCGGTAGGAGGTATAACGGAACAGAGAATATTGCACTGACTCCAGAATAGCCAACGCCACGCCGCGTGACCAAGTGTCCTGGTTAAAAGTTGTTTGTTAGTTGGTGTTGGCCGGCTGGCAGGAGCGGCTACGGAGCCAAGTGGTAATACCCTTCCATGTCTACAGTAAATACGCATTAGTAAAGATCCACCACAGGACACGCGGCAACCCCATGTCAGGAGCCAGCATGCGCCTACTTGAAAGTACTCCGGCGCCCACAAGCGCACTGAAGGCGTTGGAAATCAAGTTTCCGCAGAAGAGGATGGCGTTGCGCAGAGCGAGCTCTTTACGCGTGTACTGTTTGCGCCTGTCAGTTTCTATCCAGCCACGGGTATATCTTCAGGACCAACCCCTCTGCGATGGCCAGACATACCCATTTGCTCAGGAGAAGGAGGGCTCCGGGGAGGAAGACGGCCTCGGAGAACCCAAGGAAGAAGCGGATGACGACCATGTGAGTGAAGGTCTGGGCAACCCCGCCTGTTTTGTTGTCATTCTCTGTCAGCCGAGTTCCGTTGACGCTTGAAAACCTGCCTCGAGCGGCGAACAGGGAGAGGGACGAACTTAGAGTGCTGATAAGCCCCCAGACGAGCATAGCACAGGCGATATACAGCGACGGCCGCTCGATTCGGTTGATGAAGATATTACTCGGAACCTGCCTGCGGTTTGGTTCGTAGGCCGGATGTCAACTCTAAAGAGGCTCAACGTCGGGGTAGGACCAAACCCAAGCCACGCACGAGTGCGGCCCGGGCTGGTCGGTGCCGGAATACGGGGAACGGGGAAGATGGGGTGACAACAGTGGATGTCTAGCCTACATTAGAATGTACCCCGCGTACAAGATGCTCAAGCAGGTGGCATATTGATTGTAGCTAGTAAGTAGGACCGGCCAGGTGGTCAGCATAACACGGCAAGGAAGAAGTGTACCCCTAACCCTAATACCGGTCGAGGCGTACTCAAGGTTCAGGTCTCGCTCTAAACCCTTGAGGCGGGCGGCGGCGATGTTGTTACGATCGAGGTAGTTCATGATGTAGATCAGGACGAACAGCGAGCACCGCGTGTCGAGCTTGCGCTTCATGCTCTTCTCCACCGCCGCCCGGCGCTCCGGGGCCATGGCGGCATGGTGCTCCGTTTCGCTTTTCGCGGCTTTGTCCTGAGCGACATCGCCAGGGGCGGGGGACGGCATTGTCTCTTTTTTTTTCTTTCAGATTACACGGACGATTGAAGACTTTGGTTGTGGAAGCTAGCAGAATGAAGAAAAATTACTGCGGCATGGACGTTTGATGCTCGAGTGAGAGATATTTCCTTTCATCCTTTTTTTCACCTCACGAAAACATGAAAATTTCTACTCATCCCCGATGGAGATATGACGCAGCACCCCGGCGATGGATGCAGCCTTTCCCTTTTTTCGCGTCAATAACGACAAAAGATTGCTCCAGTCTCTCCCGTCGCTGCATGTGGGTGTGTGGGTTTTCGTTACCACCAAGACCAAGAGGGTGGGTGAGATCTGCAGCCGTCAACCGGCCGGTGTGGTGCCCTCCATCTGGGGCTCCCTCTGCTTGCTCACTCGACGGCTGGGAGAAGAAAGGAGGGGAAAGACATGTATATCCAGGCGCGACTCGGCGGAACTGGTGTGCCGTGAACCTAGCGGTCACGGACCCATTCTCGGCCGATTCGGCGGCTGGCGTTGCACTCTGTGTGTGCCCTGTGGAGGTCTCGGGTTTTGATGGATGCAGGCAAGTGGCGAAAGGAGCCCAGGGTACCAACAAGGGGCTGCAATCTGGTTATAAACTCAATTTGATGGCCTGCCAGGAGTGGCAATGGTTGAGAAATTGGGCGAGGAAAAGGGAGAAACATGTTTTAATGCAGGTGCATTGATAGCACAAGCGCATTAGGCACTATTAAAAGAGGCGATTTTTCCTCATTCCATGCTGAAGGGGCAAAGATTCTGCCGTACTGAAATCAGGAAGAGGAGCGGTGCTACAATCAGCCAGAACTTGCATACAACATCGCGGACACCTGTAAGACGGACGGGCATACCGGGTAATATCTCCACAGCAGAGCCATGGTGATCCTGGCCATGCCTCCCTCGACTTCGACCACCGGACATTTAGCTCTCGCGCTCTGCAGCGACAGGTGCAAACAAGCTTCTCAAGCCTCTTGGGGGCTGCACATGAGGGTGCCCCCGCAACGGAGCTCCATGTTGCTCCATCTGGCATCGTCTGATTGGCCAATAAGGAGCTGCGAAGAAAACGAAACGAATCCTATGTTTCAAGCCACCCCAACGGATGACGCGGCGAGCTAGCAAGCTCCACGGTTCGCTGCCAAAGTCAAAGCAAACAGACTCCGGCAGCTGTAGAGTTCGTGAATCCCAAAGGGCCAGACAGCAACAACCAGACGATCCAGGTGAGCACAACACTGGCAAATCCATTCCCCAATTAGCCGAGGGTCCATGCGTCTGGGTGCCTTGCAGATCGTCCCATGACTGTCCTCGACGCGGTTTGGACCAAGCCTGGCTGGTTGGCACCTCGTAACCTGCTCCGTCAGCTAATAATCCCCAAAGTTAAACGGCAAGACAGACACCGTCTGTTCCGCCCTTTCGCATCCATTACCTTGCTCCCCCATCTATCGCACGACTCAAACCCAGAACAAGGGGCGCCAGAATAAGCAGCCACGCAAAGAGCCCGCCCGGCCACAACGGAGCTTTTACGCGAATTGGCTGCCCCTTTCCCGCCCGCATAAGGATCGCTTACCTCCCCGATATTGCCTCCGCCTGCCATCCAACCCCATCAGCGGACGCTGCAGGACGGGGTTTGCTCCTCCCAAAGACGCCCCAGTTGCCACGAGAGGAAGGTCCCCAGACCTAGCATCGGTTCACCCCCCTCATTGCAGATCGATCGCCCAGCTCGCGGCCACCATGCCCACGACCGGTGGTGGCCTTCATGAACACGGGGGAGGAGGCCCCAAGGATGCGCGCCCGGCCGCAGCGGCAGGATCCGCTGACGAAGGCACGCCTCTCCTCCCGGGGCAGGTGCATGATTCGGCCCAGCCAGGCCTCTGGGATACTTTAAAAGGATGGACTCGCCGTCGTGTCTTCCCCATTGTGCTCTTCTCACTTCTCCTCGTCACCGGCCTGATCATCGCCCTCGTTGTCCCGGCAGTTACAGGTAAGGCTCGCCTCTCGTGCCGTGCTACCCTACCTTGAGTCTGTTGGCCTGGTGGTGGTCGGCATGTCACGCCTCGGCCGTCTCTTCGAGTGTCACTCTTGTCACTCTGGTCGCACCAGACCGGACACACCAGAAAACCAGACATGCGTTTGGGTTCTAGCATCCCCCTGTGATTGTACCCCCATTGGCATCTCTATCCAGCTCTAACATCATATCTTCACCCTCAGCCCATAACCCCGACAACCCAGGCAAGATGAACTCGACCGCCCTGTGCCTAACGCCGGCGTGCATCCACGCCGCCTCCGAGTTCCTTTACAACCTATCGCCCAGGTACCAAGAAATCGATGCGTGCACCAACTTCGAGGAGATGGTGTGCGGTGGGTGGAGGCAGCGTCACAACATGCGCTCCGACCAGGGGAACATCAACTCCCTGGGTTTGATGAATGACGCGAACCAGGATATTCTCCGCTCCGTCATGGAGAGCCCCTACCCGGAGGTTTCCCAGCACTCCGCATTCTCCCCTCGCAACCTTGACGTCGACCCCGCCACCCTCGACAAGGAGAACTTTGCCGAGATCCAGAGGGCCTACAACGCATGCATGGCCATTGACGACATCAAGAAGGTCGGCATTCAGCCGCTGCAAACCGTTCTGACCGATCTCGGCTCGACTTTCAAGGACACGTCGGATATTTCCGAGACCATCCTCTTTATGGAGCGTCTCGGAATCCCTCATCTCCAGGGCCTCGGCGTCGGCTCGGATGACAAGGACCCTGTATGTTGCCCTCCTTGCCGACCTCGCTACTTTTCTTGCGCACGGCAATGTCCTGGACCTAACCACGCCTCCAAAAGAATGTCATCGTCATTAGCACTGGACCGCGCTCCGCTCCTGGTCTTTCCTCCAAAGCGTACTACAACGACGACTCGGTCATGTCACAGTATCAGGATGCCATCAGCAAGGTCCTCGGCGCCGTCCTGTCAAATGCCTCTGCAAACGCCGCCGGTCTCGCTGAGAAGATCGTCAAGTTCGAGAAGGACATTGCGGCTTTTACCCCCAGCCTGTCCCAGCTTCGTGACCCGGGCCAATCGTACGTCGCTCTTGAAAACCTATGCAATGTGCTATCCAGGAGGAAGCCCCTGTTGCTGGAGGTGTCGAAAGGACTTGGCTGACAACTTACTCCAGGTACAACGTAATGACGCTCCAAGACACAACCAAACTCGCCCCGCAGCTCGGTCTGGAGAAAGTGCTCAAGAGCCTTGCTCCGACCAACTACACCATTGACCGGATGATCACCTCGTTCCCGCCATTTCTGTCCAACGTCTCGGCTCTCCTGAGCAACACTCCGAGCGACACTGTCAAGGGCTTCTTCCAGTGGAAGGCAATCCAGGGTCTGGCTCAAACCGTAGACGCCACTGAGCTGAAACCGTACAATCAGTTTATGAACAGGCTGGGCGGAAAGGACGCCGATGCTCAAACTGAACGCTGGCGGACGTGTCTCTCTTCGGTCGACAGCAGCCTTGGATGGATTCTCAGCCGATTCTACATCGAGAGGGCGTTTTCCAGCAAGGCGAAGGACTTGGGCAACCAAATCATCCTCGACATCAAGGACCAGTTCACTCAGAGGATCGAGAAGGCTGAGTGGATGGACGCTGATGCCCAGACGGTCGCCAAGGCTAAGGTCAAGAACATCATCCAGAAGATCGGGTACCCTGATCAGGTAAGCTTCCGTAGCCCTGCCCTGTGTTGTTGTGAAGCTAACTTTGTCTTCTTAGTCGCCCAATGTCACGGACCCTCAGGCTCTCCAGAACTACTATGCCGGCCTCAATATTTCCGAGAGCTTCTTCAAGAACAACATCGGGGTCATGCAGTTCACTGTGAACCGTTCGTGGAGTCAGCTTGGCAAGCCAGCCAACAAGGCCGAGTGGGGCATGACGGCCCCCACGGTTAACGCGTACTACAACCCTCCATGGAACGAGATTGTGTTCCCTGCTGGAATTATGCAGTTCCCTCTGTTCGGCGAGGGCCTGCCGAAATACGTCAACTACGCTGCCTTCGGTGCCGTGGCTGGACACGAGCTCAGCCACGCCTTTGACAACAGCGGCAGGCTCTACGACCTGAACGGTTACCTCAAGGATTGGTGGTCCAACGCCACTATCCAGGAGTTCCAGAAGCGGGCCGACTGCTTCATCAAGGAATACAGCAACTTCACCGTCCAGGGCACTAACGGGCCACTCAATGTCAACGGCGAGCAGACCCTCGGCGAGAACATTGCCGATGCGGGCGGCCTTAGCGCTGGCTTCTCGGCCTGGCAATCTCGCAACAAGGCGACGCCAGACCTTCATCTTCCAGGCCTCGACTTCTTCACCAAGGAGCAACTCTTTTATGTAGCCTTTGGCAACGTTTGGTGCTCCAAGTACACGCCCCAGGCTCTGACGCAGCGGGTCGTGTCGGACGAGCATTCGCCGAACATGTTCCGTATTATTGGGTAAGTTCGATCTAGTCTTCTGTGCCTTGTTACACCCTTCTACGCGGCACTGTGTGCTAACAACCCGATGCCCTCACCACAGAACGGCCATGATGAACAGCAGGGGCTTTAGGCAGGCGTACAACTGCCCCGCGAAGGAGCCGGTGTGCGAAATCTGGTAAAGGGCCTCGCGATAATTATTTACCACTCGAAGTTGCTCGGTATCACTTCACGGAACACCGGCCAATGGAGGGTTGTTGTCCTTCGCTTGCTTACCGAGTTGGGGTAGAGCCCCTTTGTTGTCTTCTTGCTAAACTCCAAAATCCTCAAGGGTGACGACTGTCTTGTGGGATACCTAGCCTTCTTGTATAGTGACTATTGGGAATTAATCATTATGTGCCGCCGCCAAAGGTTGACGGATGGCTCACAATATTTCACGGGCTCTAAATTTCCCTTGTCAGTTTTTGGATGAGAGGAGAAATGCCAGAATCTCGCCACGCGCCTGCGGAACTGCGAGACTTGGGCTTATAATCACCACTCCCATCCCGTATTTTTGTGTCTCGACTATGGCGCGATCACGAGCGGCACCCGCCACTCCGCTGCTGCTCATGTGTATGGGATGGGACAAAATATGCAGCCGCATGTTGAAGATATATGGCATTTTTACGACGTTTTTGACCCCAAGAGGCAACGAGGGCATCTTTTGCAGGCTGACTGACGTACGATGGACATGAGCAAAGCGACTCAATTCCAGGTTGATACAAGATGGCCTTGGAAGCTCCGCCAGTCCAGGTTCCCCCTGCAGAGCACCTTACAGCCGTCCGGTTCTGCGCGGGGCGAAATCAGGGATTGCCACCCACCGGCGAAGATGCAGACGGACGCCACCATCTCTTGCCGCGGGTAGGGTGTCTTTTTTGTTGACAAAGGAGTGAGCGGGTGGTTTCTATATGGTAATGTTTCGCGGCCGACAAGATTACTATCCAAATCTCGTGCCCGGTTGGGGGAAAAGGGATGAAACGACCGCCGTGGGGCGGACAAGAATCAAGAAAAACAACAAACAGGCAGACAAAAAAATCAAACAGATGGCTCCCCGCAGGGTCAATATTTTCCTATCATTAGAGCCGATCGGGCCGTGACGGCATCAGGCAGAGACGGCTTGGCGATTTGGGAAGGAGTGAGGCGGGCGGCTCACCCACTCATTGGCGGGAGCCTCGCCGCTGGCTGGTTGGCCAAGGCGATTTTTATTATTCTCTGCGCTGGCGGCCGAACCCGCCGCCTCGATAACAGCAAAAGAGTGCTGGGCTGGCCTGCCTCATGTTTTTTTTTGTGTCTTTGCTGACCAACCTAACGCAGGAGGTCTCCGGGCTCTGTCGAGTCCCACTCGCACATGGGGGACGGGCGGTTGCCTCGAGCTGCACGAGGCCCAAAACGATTGATGCGAGTTGGCCGCGTGGCTGCCGCTGTAGTATTGTTTGGTTCATCCACCAAATTAGTGTATTGAGGATCGAGATGGGGATGAACAGCTGCGAATCTCTGGTGGTCACGTTGGTACGGAGATACCTACTCCTACGTAGGTAGGTATGCCTTTCCAGCTCGTCATCCCCTGACTTTCCACCTACCCATATTGAACACGCCGCTTTGCTTCCTTGACTCCAAAGCAGCCCACCAAATCTCACGCTCTGTCAAATTCGGGGCGCGAACCGACGGTAAAGTTCTGGTAGCAACACAGCGACAGACCGGAGTGGAGCCGCGTGTGGAGAGGGTGAGAGAGGAATTTGGCTCTGATGGAGCCGACTCACGAGGGTCCGATCAAGGAATGTGAATCCAATGCGACGCAGGCTGGCTGTTCCGTCTCCCTCCGCCACAACGTGGTTTCAAGGCAAAGCGCACATGGTGCATCTTGACGAGACGCAGGAAAAGAAGGCCAGGTTCCGGTACCGCCAACTCCCCATTTGTGGGTGGGGAGAGCCGAGGACCAGTGTGCTGTGTGTTTTCACGATTGCGACACTCTGGCAAAAACACGAGGTTGAGAAAAACATGGGGAGGGCCATTGGTGTCCAAATCGAGGCATGTTCCTGACCATCGTCGCAAATGGAGCCCACCTCGCCCATTTTTGTGAAGTTAAGCCGCGGGGTGATTTAAAAAGAGAAGTGGCAGGGGGAGAAGCAAACAAACTTCAAAATCGGCTGGTTCAATGGATGTTGCTAGCTGGAGTGGCTGGCTGGTGGTGGTGAAGGCGGCTGGATTGGCGGCTCTTGTTCATTGGGCGCCACAAGGAGCCACCGACAACACCCTGCGCAAGCAGCGAGCAAAGGACGTCATGCCAAGGGCCACACAGCCGCACAGATCCGTTGGTGGTCGATGATCGATCGTGGCAGCAAATCCCCCGATTGTCACGTCAAAGAACGGGCCAACTGAATCGGCGGCTCTCTCACCCCTTCCCTCCCCATCACCCTGCGTTTCTCGAGGTGTCCATTGATTGTCGATACCCCTTCATGCTTCCACTTTACTCATTGGTTTTTTTTGTCACCCTGATTCACATGCGCGTCAACAAGCCGGGTGTTTTGCGCCGCTGCGCGCCCGAGCGTCCCCGGCTGTGAGTGCCATGGCCATGACGAAGTGGCTGACCCGCAGATCCGACCGGTGGTGGAATGGCCCTTCCTATTCGGTCGCCCGATGTTGGCACGGTTCAGCCGTTGCATGTCGCTAGCGAGCGCCGTTTCGCGACAGACTTTGCACTTGGCCAGGGATTTTTTTTTTTTTTGTAGAGATGGAGCCTGCCTTTTGGGCTGAGGGGACGGACGAGACGTGAGGCTCGCCTTCATACTTTGCAAGCGAAAACTAACCGTTGTCATGTCAGCCGAGAAGACTCAGGCGACATCCACTCAGCCGAGTTCGTGGTCCTGATTCCTGACATAGCCTACCCGAGGTAAGGATCTATTCTCTCATACAGGGCAAGTAGGCGCTGGGGTGATTGTGGACTCCAGGAGGGCTGTGGTTTGGCTCGGCCGCCTCTCCGTTGACGCGCCTGGTTGTCATCCATGTCGTGAGCTCGGTGAGGCAGTCTCATTTCTGTGTGCACACATGTCGGTTGTCACTGGGAACAAGGCAGCATGCACAATGGCCGGGCAACATGCTCACTGGGACTCGGAAGCCCCTGAACATGAAAGGTAAAAAGAAAAAGAAAAACAGTCAAGTGCCGATTCTGGGGCGGAGCAATGGCGGTTAGCAAGCCAAGGGGCTGAAAGCCATGTCACGATGATGGAGCGCATTTTGGCCTGTCGGGCGCTTGTCCACGTTGCCCACCTGCGGCCCCTGGCACGGCCAATCTTGACTGCGCGCGCCCCTGATTGCGCCGCCTGCCCGCTGGCATGCGACAGGCTGACGCCTCGTCTCCCCCCCAATAGTAATTGCCATCTCTTGATGCCCTCAGTTGTCCATGGTCAGAACTGGGCGCAAAGTTGCCTGTGAACCATTATTTACAGTCCGTCTGGTGCACTAATGTCAGGCGCTGCGATCCTTCATGAAAGACGGCACTGTGCAAAAAGAATAAAAAAAACACGAGAGAGTAAAAACCAATTCGCTCTCCCCATGCGTCAAGCACGCGTGGGAGGAGGCCCAAAACGGGATGCGACGGGGCGCTTGCAGTAAATAGCTGGCCCCGGGCGGGAAGCCGCAGGGTTCGGACAGACGCATTACGTCATTGCACAGCACCGTCTCTACTAGTGGGCTTGGTGCCCACTTGCTGAGCACCTCCTCACCACCGCAGCACCTCCTTCCAGCCCACTCCTTGTCTCCGGATTTCCCTCGCCCTGCCGCATCCCCCCAAAGCCTACGGCTGCCAGCCCTGCTTCCAGTCCACTCACACACATAGACTTTGACGGCCAGCAAAGACCACCTAATATCTCCATTTTCACCCTCTGGGCTGCCCAAGCGCGCGTGCATATCAGCCTACCCCCACCGTCAAGGCTTGTGCAAACGCAGGCCCAAGCAACGCAGCTTCACTTCGGTAATATATCGTCTTATCCGCTCGCCCGCCATTTTAGACGCTTCCCACGGCCGCACCAGCCGGATTGGCGCAGCATTGGCACTCATTGCTAACCCCTCGGGCTGGGCTGGAAGCGCTCGTCTGCGCCGAAACACGTTGCCCCCAATTCGCCCGACTCGATCCGTCTGCCCGTCGCGTCACGCCATACCACCCACCTCTCTCGCCCTTGACTGGTTATCTGGACGAGCTCTCTCGGAGCCGAGGCCGAATCTAATCACGACTGTAGCGATCGCCACCGGACTTGACGCTCCTTCTACACCCCCGAGGCCGACGGCGTGAGCTCGGACGTCTTGGGGAGCGGCGGCACCGCATCCGCCACCCGCTGGTTTCCTCCCCTCCGGGCCATGACCTGCGACCGCGCTCTGGCCGTGCTGCGATGAACTGCTCCTCATGTCCGGCTGGCTGAAGAGTGGTATGGGAACTTCCCCGTCGGAAGAGCCAATCTCCCCCGGTGCGGCCCTCGTCCCTTCGCCGAGCGGGAACAGGCCAACAGGGAGCATCCCGATAAAGGGCTGGAAGGACCCCGAGAGCCCGAGGACGGCCAAGTCCAGGTTTCAAAACAGCGTGACGAATCAGAATGAGGCCGACACACCCGAGAAGGGCGCGGGTCGGGGGATTTTTGCGTACCGGGAGCAGCTTCGGAAGCAGATGAGCTCGATAAGCCGCCGCGAATCTCCACCCGCAGGCGTACCAAAGAGGCCATCACCCATAGAAGAGGAGACAAGCCCACGGGCACCGGAACCCGTTCCGACGACGACCTCCACCGAGTCCACGGCTACGATAAGGGGGATGCCCACTCCGAGCGTGGCGGCCAGGACGCCCTCGTACCCCTTTCCCCGCATGGCGTCAATGGGAGCCGTGCCGTCTCGTCTTCACCGGCCATTCACCAAACTGTCCCCCACCGTGACCCCCGATGTGCCCCATGGTGGAGGCACCCCTAATGAGGCCAACACCCTGCTCGACAGGCTTCTCTCTAACCCGTCGACGCCGGCCTCGACCATGACTTTCCACCCTGCCGAGGTCGCTGGGTCGCCCGAGGAGCTGAACGAATTCCCCACCCCGAATCTTTACGAGCTCTCCCTGCTCCTCTCGGCCGAGCCGGGACTTGACGCCTGGTGGCAGACCGTTGTCCAGATCATGGCGGATGTCTACCAGGCCGAGCGCGTTACATTGGCTGTTCCCGCGGACACCACTGACATCGAGAACGTGCCCTGGGGTCAGAAGGCTACCTATAACTCGCGAGGAGAGGACGATCTGAGTCTTGGATACTTGGCGCGGGGTAGCAGTCTGGTTCGCACCAACTCTGATATCCGGTCCGAAGCCACCACGCAACTACCGGCAACTCATGGTGTGTTGTCACCAACACGGCCCAACTTTGCCAGTAGGCACTCCTTCACGGCTTTCGAAATGCGCAAGGAACCAAAGGTGGCCAAGGATGCGGCCACTTTAGCCCCCGAGCGCCCGACCCCGCTACAACGGAGCAAGAGCTCCTACCCGGTCGCATCCGTCGAGAGCGACAGGGAAGCCATCGAGGAAGACCATCCTCCACTAAACCAACAAACTCTGGAAGAGCACGATGCTGCCGAGCACGACGCAAATTTCCTAGGCTGGGATGCTTCGGTCGCGCGGCATCACGAGTCACAGGCCAGAGTGCTGCCCATGTTGCAGGCTTTGGACTATGAGGCAGACCCTCTCATTGACCATAACGGCATCCGCAGGGTCCTGGAAAGGGGAAAGGTCATTGCTCTTACGCGTAGCTATCCCTACCTCGGAGCCCTAGCATCAATACAGCTTGAGGAGCCGCCAAAGGAGAACATGCGGTGCCGGTCGCCAGAAGGCCCCAGGAAGCAACAACAAACAAAAAGGCCCCGACCCGAGTCTATCTCGAAGTTGTCGTCGCTGCTTAGTGGTGCAGCCCTCTACAAAGGCGGCAAAAAACCCTCGCAAGGAGACAGGAGGAGGCTTCGCTCTGGGGCCTTCCATCTGGACGACGACGACGGCGCCCCACGGCCACCAACACCAAAATATGAGGAATATGAGCAGCCGCCCCCATCACCCTGGTCGCAATCTCCTGCGCCCTCGCCGGCTATACGAGCGGACCCCTCAGAGAATCCTTTCTTTACCGACGCCGTTGTCGACGAGAGCTCCTTCAACCCCACCTCTCCGCCAAACGCCGACTACGCCTCCATGAAGCCACCAGAAACCATCGGAGTCGAGAACTCCTGGACTGTCCTTCACATCCCTCTGTCGCATGTCATTCTATCGAAGCCTACAGCAACGTTCAAACTTGACACGACCCTGATGGAAAGGAAGTCACACTCGCGCAACAGGGGTCATGGCACGGGCGCCGACTTGCCCACACCGGTGGCGGCGCCATCGCCAGGCTCTACTCACAGGGAGAAGCACTCGCCGATCGCCGTGCTCTCCATCCTCACCCCGCTCATCCCGTACCCTACTAACCTGCGGCACTCTCTATCGCACCTCGCGCCTCATCTTGCCACCTCCTTTTCACTTTGCCGTCACTACACGAACCTGGAGACCGAGCTCGCAGGCTTACAGAAGAGAAGGCCGGAAATCGCACGCTTCGCGGGCCTTGGCACCGATGGCCGGATGATCTCAGAGCCCTTCACCATCGGGAGTATGGGATATACGCCTGGCGAGATGGCAGAATCGCAAAGATCTGCCGGAGGCAGCATTACGAGTCCTAGTGACTATTCAGTGCCGTCCCGAAGCGCCACAGGCTCCGCTGCTGGAACGCCCAGTTGGGATGTTGGAGGTCTCGGTCTCGTGACGGAGAAGCGTCAAGTCCCAGCCAGTCCCTTGGCTGCAATGGGGGATAGTTACTTTAGCGTAAACCCTTCCCAGTCGTCCTCCCGCCTTCCACCGGGCACCCCCGGAGTCTCCGCCCAGAGAGATAGGAGAAACTCGAAGGATAGCTCCGTTGGTGAGAAAAAACCGATTCGGCGACAGTCCAGCGTCAAAATACCCAAAAGTCGAGACCCAGGGGCGGAGCACCAAAGCAGCAAAGAACACGAGGAAGCTGTCGACTTGGCTGCCAAGGGGCTCTTGGAAGACTCTCAGCTTGCGGCCGCGGACAGGGGCGGCGATGCTGCGCCTTTGGAAATCAACAGAAAGGGCCTCCGGCCCGGCCACCGACACACACAACTACACTCCTACGGGGCCGACTTCTCTCATACATTCCAATCTTTGCCACCCAGCTCCACGGTGGGGAGGGGGCAGCACCCGCCATCACGCAGCGGCTCGGGACCCGTGCCTCGCGAGATGCTTCCACCATCAGACACACTCAAGGGGTTGATTCTGGACTCCTTGCCGGCCCATGTCTTTGTTGCCCAACCGCCCCTTGGCGAGATGCTCTGGGTGAACAGCAGATACTTGAGCTACCGAGGCGTCACGGCCCCGGAACTTGCTGCCGATCCGCACCTGAGCCTCCACCCGGACGATAGGGAAGAATACATCCGGTCGTGGGTTCACTCGCTCCGGACCGGCGACCCCTTCTCTAGGACTGTGCGAATTAGGAGATTCGATGGCGCCTACCGCTGGTTTCAGGCTAGAGCGATCGCCACAAGAGACAAGCGCAATGTGGTTCAGCAGTTCCTGGGGTCGTACATGGACATCCACGACCAGCACATTGCCGAGCTCAGGGCCGCAAAACAAAAGGAGATAGAGGCGTCCGAGGCGAAGCACAAGCTCTTGGCAAATCTCATCCCACAGATCATCTTCACCGCGACCGAGGACGAAGGTATCACCTTTGCCAACGACCAATGGCTCTCGTATACGGGGCAGAGCCAAGAGGCGTCGCACGGGCTTGGGTTCATAAGTTTTGTGCACCCTGAAGATTTGGCAAACTGCCGCATACCTCCGGATGGGTTCTCCACGCCCATCGACACCAAGGAGACGGGAGACCTTCTGCACTCGCCGTGGCCCAGTGCCTTGAGCCCTACAGCAAGCAGGGCCCCAGGGACGCGCGTGGTCACGCCTGGCCCCTCTGCCGGCCCGGAAAAACACAGCATTCGCGGAACTGCCTCTAGGCGCGCCAGCTCTGGCAGTTCGTCGAGCGAAGGGCAAGCACCGGGCGATCTCACCAAGCTAGCCAGGAAGGGTGTGATCAAGGCTAGTCTAGATAGCAATGGTCGCCTTTCCTACACGACAGAGGTGCGACTACGCTCCAAGAAGGGCGAGTACAGATGGCATCTAATCCGCGTGGTCGAGGTTATCGACTCGAACCCTGAAGGCAACATCTCGTCGTACCTCGGCTCAGCCACGGATATCAACGATCACAAGCTTATCGAGGCCAAGCTCAAGGACGCCATGGAGACCAAGACGCGTTTCCTCAGCAACATGTCACACGAAATTCGCACGCCGCTCATTGGAATCTCAGGCATGGTGAGCTTCCTGCAGGAGACAACGCTGAATGAGGAGCAACGCGACTACACCAACACGATCCACACCAGTGCCAACAGCCTGATAATGATCATTAACGACATCCTTGACCTGTCCAAGGTCGATGCCGGCATGATGAAGCTCAAGTTTGAGTGGTTCCACACGCAGTCACTGATAGAGGCAGTGAACGAGCTGGTGTCGACCATGGCCATTGCCAAGGGCCTGGAGCTGAACTACATCGTCGAGCCCGACGTCCCGGCCTGGGTCAAGGGTGATAAGGTTCGTATCCGCCAAGTCCTCCTGAACGTTATTGGCAACGCCATCAAGTTCACGTCGGATGGCGAGGTCTTCAGCCGCTGCAGAGTCGCGAATTCCAAGAAGCACAGCCTGGAGGACGAGATAGAGTTGGAGTTCTCCGTCGTCGATACCGGGAGGGGCTTCACTAAGGAAGAGGCTGAGCTCATTTTCAAACCCTTCAGCCAAATCGACGGCAGTAGCACTCGTCAGCACGGCGGAAGCGGCCTTGGCCTGGTTATCTCAAGGCAGCTAGTGGAGCTCCACGGCGGCAAGATGGGCGGCACGGCCGTGCCTGGGAAGGGCTCGACCTTTACATTCACGGCCAAGTTCGGGCTCCCAACCGAGGATGATCAGCCAGACTCGATGAAGGCCTCTCAGGATATCATCAGCTCTGCCACGATCCCAGAAGGGCTCCAGGCCGCACGCTTGTTCAAAACACCGCCTTCCAAGCCTTCGCCCGTTTCCATGCTGCCGTCATCCGGGTCTACAACCACCAGCCCTGGGGACCTAGGAAAGGAAACATGCACTACGTCACCGGCAGCAACGACTTCTAGCGCAAGCTCGGATCCGTCGGTTCGGTCGTCTATGTCGCATACGACCCAAAGGACGTCGATGTCGTCCATCAATGCTGGACTTGTGAACTTTAGTGAGGCAGCGAGGGCCAGCGGACAGGACTTGTCACAAATGAAGCTTGAGATGCCATCAGAGCAGTCATCCCCGAACACATCCTCAGACACGACGATTGTGCCCTTCGAGCCGCGACAGCACCCGCAGGCCGATGCGTTCCGCCCCTTGCTCTATTCTATCCTGATCATCAGCCCGCAGACACACAGCCGAGAGGCTACGACGAAGCACATCGAGATGACGCTCCCCAAAGGCGTGCCACACCAGATCACATCGCTCGCAACGGCAGCCGAGGCACAGAAGCTCATCGGTGGCGAGGATCCTGTGATATTCACCCACATCGTGGTTAATCTGCCATCTACCAACGAACTTATCGACCTCATGGACGAGATTGTGAAATCGAAGCTGCATAGGAGGGCCAGGATCCTGATCCTTTCGGATTCTGTGCAGAGGCAAGCCATCCTGAAGCAGGTGGCAGGCACCGAACACGAGGATGTTTTCTCAGATAAAAAGGTCACGTACATCTACAAGCCCGTCAAGCCGTCACGGTTCGCCGTCATCTTCGACCCGAGCCTCGAGCGGGACCTCAGTATCGACCGGAACCGCTCGACGGCGGAGAAGATTGTCGAGACGCAAAGGCAGAGCTACCTCGAGATCGGAGAGCGGATGGGCAACAAAGGCCACAAGGTGCTCCTGGTCGAGGACAACCCCATCAACCAAAAGGTGCTCATCAAGTACCTCAAGAAGGTGGGCGTCGATGTCGAAGTGGCCCTGGACGGACAGGAGTGCACGGACAAGGTCTTTGGGAACGAGCGCGGGTACTACTCGTTGATACTGGTAAGCCGCCAAAGCTCGCGCCCTGCAAAGAAGACGCTAACCTAAGCACCGGGACGCCAGTGCGACTTACACATGCCAAAGAAGGATGGTTATACGGCCTGCAAGGAGGTTAGGGAATGGGAGAACGAGCAACCTGACCATGCTAAGCTCCCCATCATTGCGCTCTCGGCAAACGTCATGTCGGACGTGCAGGAGAGATGCTACCAGGCGGGATTCGATGCATATGTCACCAAGCCCGTCGACTTTGTTGATCTCAGCAACACACTGGCCGTGTTCTTTTGAGGACGGCCTCACAATCCCCCGTTTCCGAAGGGCTACCCACGGGTGATACCCTTTCGTCGTATATAGATTATTTCTCTTCTTGTCTCTATTTACTCCCTGCCACCACTCTCCCTCGGCTGCCGATCCATCATCATTCGGCGAGTTTTAGCGGTTCATTTTGCCATCTCCACGGCTCACCAGACCCACGGCTACATAATCGAAAATAATGTTGGCGTCCATGAGGCTTCAGATGCCTTGATTCTGTCCTTTTTGGGGAGCCAATGGCACTAGGGAGAGACGTAGGCTTTTTCTTTCAGATGGGCTAGACAGGTTTCTGGTTTTTTTGGGGGGTTTTTTTTTGTTTTCTTCGTTTATTTCTGCTTGTGTTGGGGGTAGGCTTCTTTTTCTTCTCATACCATCTCCTTTTGAGCCTTGTTTTTCAGGCTCGTGTGGGTGAGCAGGCGGGCAGGTTGCATATCTGGTGGAAAGGAAGAATAGGGGGGGATACATGGTCTCAATCAAGCAGGCGTGCATTCGACACAGGCAAACAAGGCGCAAACATGGGACATGGGTTCTGTATTTATGTCGCGCCAGGAAGGCGTCCCAAAATACATGTTTTACACAGCAGGAGTATAATACCACCATGATTATGGGATGCAAGACAGGTCAAGACGGAGCATTGTGGGCAAGTTATACGAGATTCGTGAGCTACCTCTGCCCCTATACTACTTGAATCAAGACAGCTAGAATAACCTCGGCGCCCGCTCAGACGGCTCTCCTTCCCAGGACGCGCAGGCGCTTGACGCCTCCGTCCGGGATCATGACCAGCTTGACGTGGGTGAAGACGCCGTCCTTGACCAGCGACTCGAAGGTGTGCTCCTGGTCGGGCCCGCACTTTGAGGCGGCCACGATCTGGACCCAGCCCTCGGCGTCGGGCGCGACCTGGGCGTCGGCGTCGGGCCCAGCCCACCTAATGGCCTCGACCCTGACCTGCTGCGGGAAGTTGCCGCGGAAGAAGGCGGTGTCGACGACGACCTGCTGGACGACGGCCGGCGCGCCCAGCTTGACGACCGCCCAGTCGACGTGGCCCTTGGTCCTAGACCTGGCCGTCTCCCAGCCGTCGCCCATGTCCTTACCGCGGCCGGGCAGGAGCAGGTTGTCCTTTGTGCCAAAGTGCTGGTCGCTGCACGACACGGCCACGCCGCCGTTCTGGGCCGCGGCCAGGTCCAGGACGGCGGCCGGGTCGGCGGGGAAAACGGGGGCGGCGCGGCCGAAGAGGCGGAAGCGCGCGATGCCGCCGTCCGGGTACATGTTGAGCCGCACGTGGGTGTACTTTTTCCCCGTCGGGCTTTCGAGCCGCCAGCCGAAGCGGCTGCTGGGCCCGCACTCCTGCAGGCCCAGGACCGTCTCCCAGCCGCCGCGGGTGCCGGCCCAGGAGGCCACCTCGGCGTCGGCTCCGGATTCGGGCCGGAAGCAGG